ACACGAGAGAGAGAGAGAGAGAGAGAGAGAGAGAGAGAGAGAGAGAGAGCGAGAGAGAGAGAGAGCCCATTTACTTCAACTTTTTAATAAACTTTAAAGAGTTTAGTAAACTTTTTTTTTTTTTTTTTTTTTTTCGAGACAGGGTTTCTGTGTACAGCCCTGGCTGTCCTGGAACTCACTCTGTAGACCAGGCTGGCCTTGAACTCAGAAATCTGCCTGCCTCTGCCTCTCAAGTGCTGGGATTAAAGGCGTGCACCACCACTGCCCCATCATGTTAAGGTTAAGAATTGGTATTTAGTATTTTCATAACCATGTCATAATATTACTCATTACTTAGCTAACATTAAATTGTTTTCTGAAAGATTCTTCTTTTTCTATCTGTTAGATCTTCTATTCAAAACTCCTAATAATTAGTCATTTCCATCACTGATAAAAATACCCGAGGAAAGACTGAGTCCTAGTTTAAAAGGCTTCATTCTACTTTCTTGGTTCAGTTGTCTTTGGTTTGAGGAAGTATTGTATAAGAAGAGATTCAGGGTTGAAGGTGGGTCCTAGTGACCTTCTTCTTTCAATGAGGCCACACCTCCTAATTGTCTGTCTAATTATGAATTCAGTATCACCTTGTCATCCTGCTGCATTGAGGACTAAGTTTTAAATACACAAGTCTTCAGGAAACATTTCATGTACAAATCATAACTCTTTGTCCCTGGTTCCCAAAGGCTCAGGTCTAGCTCATAATGCAAATTATTTAGTCTACCTCCCAGAATCTCTACAGTTTTAATAGTTCGAGCTTTATCTTATTTTGCTCTTGAAGGCAACTTTTAATTGTGACCTCTTATAAAATTAAAGATACAAGTTGTATGCATTTAATATCTAGTGGTAAGGACAAGCACTGGATCACCATTCCTATTCAGCAGGGAGGGATGGGACTATAGAAAGGAGAGTCCAGGCCAAGCTAAAACTGGAACCCACTAGGGCAACATTAAATTTGAACATCTATACATTATCACCCAAGTCACGTGGTGGTATAATCGGAATTCTCATGTGCTCTACCTTTATAGCTTTGAAATCTCCTGCTTTCTTGGCAACTTCCTGAGGCTGGTTGCCTATGGCATTCCTTGGAGATCTTTCATGTTTCTGGCATCTCCAGATTTCTGGAATCTCCATTGCAGCTTGTGTTCACTCATAGCCCTCTTCTGGGTTTCTGACTCTGTACAGTCTCCTTAACCTTCTTCTGGTAGAATCTCTCACAATTTCACAACTCATTTTTATGTTTGCAAACCCTTCATAACCTGGGTGACACTAAAAGCTGCATTTGGTGCAAACTTTCCTGTTAGGGCCTGCTTCTCCTTGGCTGTAGTACTTGGACAGCAGTCAGGGGCAAATGACTCTTCGGGAACTAGTTTTGTTTGTAGGAGGCCCTGTTTGAAGAAGGCACTATGAGCTCTTCTACACGTGTTAAGACTTAAGTGTCCTGGAAGCTGACCAGTTCCTGCAGTACCCTCTTATCATGTAATCCACTTGGTGCTAACGATTGCTTTGTTTTAACTTGAAATGTGATCTTTTTTGCCTGAATTACAAGTTTGTAAAATCTATCTGATCTGATTTTTTTGTTGTTGTTGTTGCTGATCCTCACTGTGAGTATGAGAAAAAGTAGGCAACAGTATCCGTGAAAACCATGAATTCATGTTTTGTAATGCCCTCCCAGATAAGTTAACCTATGGTCTTTAAACTCAGCTTTATAGAAAGTTTCTGGGCATGAACAAAACATAGATGAGTTCTTTTTCCAGAATGTATGAAAAATTATCAAACCCAGTTTCCAGTAGCGGTCCTCATTTCCATGGGAAACTTTATTCAACATTCTGACTTTGTGAGTTCCACTAAAATCTCCAAGTAATCCTGTTTTCAGCATTCTAGCACAGTAATTGATGTAGATAAGAAAATTATTTCTTATTCATGTGTGAGAAAATAAGAAACAAAAAATGAGTGTGAGCATCTCATGTTAAAAAAAAATAGTCAAGGCAATAAAAAAAATGAGTGTGTACTTCAAGCATCTATTGAAGAACCAAAGATTATTTCCTTTTTGAAAGATAATTGACCTCAAAGGATATGTATGGTTTTGGTTTTTATTTTCCTTTGGGCTGTATAGTATTGCTGAACAGTGTAACTTTTAATACCCAGTGACTTGGGCTCATTTCTCAGGCTAAGTGTAAAGTGTGGCTCCTCGTCTATGAAGTGGGAACCTGAGTTCTTAGCTCGTTACAAGAGTCTAATAGTACTTGGGTGTGGTGGCACATGCCTTTAATCCCAGCATTCAGGAGGCCGAGTTCATGGCCAGCCTGCTCTACAGTCCAAGTTCCAGGCTACCCAAAGCTACATAGTAAGTCTCATTCCTATCCCTCTCAGCTCCCGTCCCTGCCAAAAAAAAAAAGAATCTTACTAGATACTGTAGGTAAAAACTCTTCATTAACTGTATAGTATAATGTACTTTAATATTACGCTTTATAAAAGACTACATCTTTCTCATAATTTGTTACCTCTTTCAATTCAGCTTTCCACAGGCTACAAATCAAACGTTACTTGACAAGTTTAAACATCAACATGAAGAGAATTCTTACATTGAATTTCCAGCTGTGATGGAGCCTGCTTTTATCATAAAACATTATGCTGGAAAAGTAAAATATGGAGTAAAGGTCAGTAAATTTCTTATTGAATATGGCTTTAGGGCAGAAATATGTATTTTAAAATATAGAACACTTTTATCTTTGACAGTTCTATGCATGTAAACATTGTTTCCTGATCATAGCTACACCCCTCACTCTTCCTCCAGGTGTATCATCACTATTTCTGGCATGCTACTTTTTTTGTAGTTTTTGGAGGCTCTAGATCTGTAGCCGTTGGAGACATTTTGTAATCATAGAACTAGAATTGAGATCTATTTTTCAGTATATTACCATTTAGATAATGTTTCTACTGGTTTCCTTCTGTAGATAAATCTATTAGGCCATTTTAGTGAACTTTTAAAATCTAGAACAGATAGTATCTGTGTGTCTCAAACTCATTGTTCATCCTCATAATTCACTTGTTTTCCTTTAATGATACTCATTACAGTCTTTTAGAAGCTTCTGTTCTGAGCACCATTAGTTAGTTGTGAGCTTTCATTCTTTCTAGGTATATTAATATTAATTCTTGCATATATTGTATTTAACTGCGAAGATGGTTAACTCCTAAATCTTTTTTTTTAATTGGATATTTTATTTATTTACAATACAGATGTAACTCTTAAATCTTTGGAAGCTTAAACTTGCCACTTATGATACTTAGTTTTCTTTTAATGCAGTAATGAAATAATATAAAAAGTCAATGACTTACTGATTTTTGTTTTCTTTTCTGTTTTTGAGACAGTTTTATGTAGCTTAGAGAGTCTCAGATTTTCTGTGTAGCAGAGGGTGTCCTTGAACTCCTAATTCTCCTGCCTCTCATCGTAAGTGGCTAGGATTACAGAGGTGTGTCACCGTGTCTAGTTGTGGTAGAAATCTTAATTAATTATTTAACCATTTACTGATTCATTTTTTAAAGAATTATTTATTAAATCCTATATGTCATTTCCCTGTTCAGTATTTGTGATTATACAGTGATAAGCTAGACAGACAGATTTGTAAGAGTATGTGTATATATATGTATATATCATATGCATATCATATATTTCTATCTATGTACTATAAATTTTTCCATGAGCTAAAGTAAGGAAGTAATTACCTTTTAATTTGTAGATTTACAAGGATTTTTCTAAAATACTTTTAATTAAAGAGAGGAAATAAAGTAAATGTTACACTGGTAGGTTGAGATAGTGAATTAGAGGCTATAAAGTAAGGAAGGCATGAAGTATGCTGAAATAGTGCATGAAAGGTCAGTGAGATGAGACTGTTACAGGTGAGTGACGTATTTTAGTGAATTCCGAGAGCAGACATTAGATTAAATCTTGAAGGGCTTCTAGGCCACAGTAAAGGACCTTAGGTGAAAACACCTGAGGTTTTAGTGGAATTCAGGGGTCCCTGTACAACCCATACTTGTTGGAGCAGTTAACAGTCCTGTGTCAGCCTTCTGAGTGCTTCAGTTGCAGGTGTTACCACCAACTTCACTACTGGAGTGTAGGTTTTTGTTGAAATTGTTATAGGAACTGTGAAACTATTACAGCAGATTTGTGTTTTTAAGGCCAGCAGAGAGGGCAAGACTAGATTCTTAGAATTTATTGATTCTCCCTCTTTACCTCCCTCCCCTTTTAAATTGAGGTGAAGTATTAAATTGAACCATAGAGTAGCAGTAGAAATGGGAAAGATTTTACATAAGGTATAGTGTGGAGATCTCCATATACTTTATGGATGTTATAAATGAATATTTTATAGTGGGAAGTAATTGAATCTATTTGAGGTACCATATCTGAGATGGAATACATAGGTAAGAAGCAGATTTTAGATATAATTTATAAAGTAAAACAAAGCAAAAATTTTGAGCCTGTTAGATGATGTAGTTTCTTTTCTAGTGTGATAGTAAAACACCATGTTCAAGACAGAAAGTAAGAGTCCATCAGGATAGGGTATGGCAGCAGGTATGGTGGCTGGAGGAGAAGCTGAGGTGCTTACATCTTGAATTGCAAGCACAAAGCAGCAAATTGGAAGAAGAAATGGTGTAAGTCTTTAAACTCACAACCTGACCACATTGGCATACTTCAGCAAGAGCACACTCTTGAACCCCCCAAACAGCATCACCAAGTGGGAACCAAGTATGCAAATGCCCAAGATTTATAGAGACCTTTATAATATAGTACACACACGTGTTTCTCTGATGTTTCTGTATGTTATTGAGTAGACTGAAACTAAAAGATGATTAAAAGGTGAAAATATATACTCATGAAAGAAACTAGACAAATGCTAGAGATATTACTGGAGATAAAAAGGGGTATTTCACAACGAGAAACGTGTCCAGTTGATACAATGTTAATCAAAAGTTATTTATACCCAGTAACTTTGATTCCGATTATAACAGAAAGAGAGCACAAATAGCTGTCGTGTTGAGACTGTAGCTGTGGTAGAGTGCTCATCTACTGTGTGTGATGCTCGTTAAGTGTAATTGCTAGCACTGCAAAAGCTATAGCTAAATAAAAGTGGCTGGAGACAAATCTGTTGAGCTACAGGGCACACACACAAAATATCAAACAGAAAAATCAGGTAGCACTTTTAAAACAGTAACTTAGGCAGTTACTACGTATTTAAATGTTAAGCAAAATTCTTCCAATTAGTTGATGAATCAATCCAGAGAAAAATACAACTAAAACTAATTAATATATATATATATATATATATATTTTCAACTGAATAGTTAGGACTTCAGTATTTTAAAGTTTGTAGAATCTAGTTAAATCCTTTAAGACAAATGCTTGACAAGAAATTAGGATGAAAAGTATATCAGGTTCCATCTCAAGAAACTTGTAAAAGTGCACATTTAACCCAACTGAATGAGAAGGACATGATAACAATCAGATGTCAACACAATAAAAAGAACCATAAAGAAATCAAAAGAGCTTCTGGGAATGGTGGCACGTTCCTTTAATTCCAGTACTGCCCAAGGCAGAGGGAGTGGGATCTGTGTAAATTTAAGGCCAACATAATCTACATAATGGGTTCTAGGACTAGCCAGGACTACATAGTGGTATCCTGTCTCAATACAAAAGGAATACTGCCAAAATTGAAACAAAATCAACAAAGTCTAATGTGTTAGTTCCATTTTAATATATAACGATATAAACAAAGCATAGTAGAAAGTAGCTGATAACAGAAAACTATAAATTATAGGTATCAAAAATAACAAAGGTACTTCATTCTTCTGTACCACTCTTTGTTTGTGCAGGGTCAGATATTTATAACATACTAACTGGCTAGTATTCAGTTCTTTTCCATCTCTAATTCTTTTATCATTGAAGGAGAAAATAAAACCAAGCTCTATAATCTCTGTTCACTCCCACTATTCAAACCTACTATCTTCTTGATTTTAATAGTCTTTTTCAGAAATACCATTTGTACTTTTTTTCATAGGATTTTCGGGAAAAAAATACAGATCATATGCGTCCAGACATTGTGGCTCTTTTGAGAAGTAGCAGGAACGCTTTTGTTTCTGGGATGACTGGCATTGATCCTGTAGCTGTTTTCCGATGGGCAGTTCTCCGAGCATTTTTCAGAGCTGTAGTTGCTTTCAGGGAAGCTGGGAAAAGACACATTCAAAGAAAAAGTGGTAAGCCATTCTTGCTAGTATTTTGTTTTGTTCTGTTTATTTGCCATACTCTGTAATCATGTTTCATAGATGATAAATCACATACGCCTTTAAGTGATTAAATGTATGTTTCTGTATGTATGTAAGCATATGTTGCTATATTTTCATTAATAGGTATTGATAGGAATAATGAGTATCTTAGTTAGGGTTACTGTTGTGTGATGGAACAACCATGACCAAGGCTGGTCATAAAGGGGAGGATTTATTTGGGGGCTTGTTTACAGTTTTGGAGGGCTAGTCCGTGTCCAGTATGGTGTAGGCAAGCACGGTGCTTGGAGCAGTGTCTGAGTGCTCACATCTGATCTGAAAGGTTCAAACCTCAAAAGCCCAGGCCCAGTGAGTGACACCTCTTGCAAGAAGGTCAGACTTACAAATTCTTCTCAAACAATCTCACCAACTGTAGATCAAGAATTCAAATATATGAACGTACATCATTAAAATCATCACATACATAAGGCATGTAGTAGTTATGAACAAAAATGCAAGCTAGTAATCAAATAGTGATTCAGAATTGGACTTTAATGTTTTCTTCATTTTGTCCACCTGTATGTTTTTTTTTTCTACAAATTCAATCATAATTTAATGTGAAAAGGCAAATTAGGAAACAAAAAACATTGGGGTCAGGCAGTGTAATATGGTTGAGTCTCCTGCCCCAGTCACCTTATCTAGTGACTAATTTTGTAAGTAAGAGCACTTTTTCTTTTTCTATTAAAGGATGATCTGTTCGCTTCTTAACCTGATAACTCGGTTTATTGAGTTTTTAGTTTGAATTTTATAAATGATTTTTTTTGGGTATTTCTTCTTTCTTTAAGCCATGAGACACTCTATTTTCTATTGTTCATGAAGCCAAGTTCATAGACACATGTGGCTATTTGAATGTGTATAGTTAGAATCTTCTAATTTATATGTACTTGAGACATGCCTTTCAGTAGGAGTATATGAGTGCTTCCTTGTTCTTCTGTGGTTCCAAACTAACTTGTGTATCGTAGGAATACACAAACCTTCAAAGTCAGCTTTTAAACTTCAGTTCTGATTTTTCACCTGGGAGGTAGAGTCAGTCAGACTGTTCAACTTCCAGGCCAGTTTAGTCTACATAATGAGTTCCAGGACAGCCAGGGTTATTTAGAAGAGACTTTGTCTCAAAGACAAAGCAAAACAACCCAACAACAAAAGCAAAAAATAGTCCTAGGGAATCCTAAGTGATTTGATTATTAGTAGACTTTCCCACTAACTTAGTCATTGTTATAGTGCTGTGAAGAGACACCATGACCACAACAGCTCTTAAAAAGGAAACCCTTTCATTGGAGTTAGCTTCAGAGGTTTAAGTTCATTGTTGTCATGGCTGAAATTGTGGCAGTAAGCAGGCAGACATAGTGCTGGGAAGGGCAGGAACAGAAACCCTGGGCCTATCTTGAGCATTTGAAACTGCAAAGCTTTCCCCGCCCCCCAGTGATGTGCTTCCTCTAACAAGGCCACGTGTACTCCTACAAGGCTACACCTCCTCAACCCTGTCAAGTAGCCCTATTCTCTAATGACCAAGCATTCAAAACCTATGAACCTATGGGGACTATTCCTATTCAAACTACCACACCTCCATAGGAAATATGAAAGGGAGTTCTTGTGGTTGAAATGGTTAAGATGATAGTAATGGCCTGGAGAGGTGACTCAGCAGTTACATAAGTGCACTTGCTGCTTTTCCAGAGGACCTGAGTTCAGTTCCCAGCATCCTTGTTAGGTGGCTCACAACCACTGGCAACTCCAGCTCTAGGGGGATCAAATGTCCTCTACTGGATAGAGTTGCACTTAAGTGTGCACATACACACAGAATATAGATACATACACATAAATACAGTTTTAAAAAAGGATAATAGAAACATTAGGGAAGAAATAAAGAGCACCATTGTAGTTAACTACACAAAGATGGAATAAACATAATTTTTTACATTTTTTAGCACTCCAATTTGAGAGACAGCTGCTTAAAGTAATAACTAATTCTATGGGGATGGTCATACTGTTTAAACAATATAATTTGTTTGATAGTAACAGTGTAAAGGAAGTGATATGGGCCACTTTTTGAGCAATTGGAATTGTTTTTTAACTTAGACTAGATATAAATTACTATGTTAATTATATTTTTCACTTGTAATTTATGACATTGAGACCCATTCCTAATTAATTGTACAATAAAGTGCACTAATGGAGCTTCAGTTCATTACGTGTCACTTGATTTGTTCCTAGATTATACACTTGTCATTGTTAGAAGCAAAATTGTTAAATGTTGCCATTCCTCTCTAACTCTGAGAGAATGGCACTCAAGAATTCATCTCTCTTGAAATATGGAAACTCTACCTTCTGCCTTAAATCAATTTCTTGCTGATATTTATGGTATTGACATTGCCTTTCCCCCACGCCTTACTGCTCCAATGGCTCACTTGGCTAGCACTCAATGAGTGCTTTGGTCTTTACTCTTGTCTCTTCTCTTTCCTGCTAGTAATTCACTTTATCTCCTCATACAGTGATGAGGTATGGGTTCTCCAGCTGTTTTTCAGATTTATAAGTGTAGGGTGCTGCTCGGGACCCCCATTTTTGGTGTGCTACTATTTACTTTTATCACACACTCAGCAGACACTGACAAGACAATTGTGCCTGATTGCCAGATTTGTAAAAGACAGTACATTTTTTCGTAATTGTTTGGGTATAATTTCTCTCAGATTCTATGAATATTGCCAACTATATGCTAAAGATATTTCAGAAAGGAATAATTTTCTAAAAACAACCAGATGATACTACTTGTTTGAATGTTCCTTATACTTTAACCTAGAAATTTTAATATAGCATTAACTTAGAATACTTTGATTAATAAAATAGACATTTGGAATAGTTGAGAAGAATATTTGTTTCTTCCTATTACTTGTTAGTTGGAGAGAATCATTCATATTATTTAATATTTTAAAATATATCAAGATAGTTGTCATCATTGTATTTCATTCTCTTATTGCTTTGAGCTTATATAATGTCTTTTTCTTTTTTCCATTTTTTATTTTGTTGTGCTTCTTAAGGACATGATGATACAACACCGTGTGGGATTTTGAAAAGTATGGATAGTTTTAGCTTTCTCCAACACCCAGTTCATCAGAGGAGCTTAGAGATTCTACAGAGGTGCAAGGAAGAGAAGTACAGTAAGGCTTCAAGTCCTCTTAACCCTGTGTTGTCACATCCATTTGGAAATGGAAATCAAGAGCATTCATGAGGGTAGCGTGGAGAGCACATAGGAACATGCCTTTCACGGTCTTTTACACAGACTCTTTGGCTTTCTCTTGAAATTGCTGATACACCTGTTCTTTAATGTCGGTGATTTTGACTGTCCTGTTTGCTATGCACCACATTGTTGGTTATCTAGGCCAGCGTCACTGAATTGGTTTCTAATTTTGTCTTGGAAGTATCTGATTAATTGCATAAATATATGCAGTAATTTTTCTCTTGTTTTTTGAAAGTTTTAGTGAAATGTAATTCAAATAAAATAAGAGAACAATTTGGTAAGTCTTACATATATAGAAACTCATGAAATTAACAAAGTGATTATGATATTCAACACTTCCCAAAGCTTCCTCATATCTGGCTAAAGTTTGTACTTACTTATGTTTGATTCTTACATCAGCAATGTTATAATTGTGAATTTCTAGAGGATTCATTTAAGTTGACTTTAACCCTTGACTCAGACTTTCTATGTCTGATATAAGAGAACTCACCACATCAGAATTTCAGCATAAAGAATAACATTCCAAATATATATCTGTTTATTGTTTAAAATTGATATAAAAGATGCACTTGGTCTCCATTTCTTCCTTGACTTTTCGTAAGTCTGTATGAAGTAGGTTCTTTGGTCTTCTGTGTGGTTACACATACTCCTATTGTGATAAAAAATGAGTTTTTCAGAAAATTAAGTCATTTGTTTATAGTGGGACAAATTTAATCAAGATCTGCATTGTGCATTTAATAAATTGCCACGCATTTAGGTTACTACTTTTATTAGAGTTTTAGAGTTGAAACTCCATAATATTTTACTTAATAAAAAAGCAATTTAAGTGGAAGTACTTAAAAATAAATGCGATGAGTTCTTTTTCACTCTATTGGTATAAGAAAATGTATAATGTGTGTGTGTGTTTCCTTGTAGGAAAAATAAAGGTAAGTCATTTTAAAAAGATGTCTTTAGAATTTATTCATAATTATTGAAATTATTTGTAAAGATACATAGTCTTCATTCTGATTGTTCATTTCTCAGTCTTTCAAAAACAGTCTACAGATCTTTTGAGAACAGCTTAAATGAACGTAAATCTAAAGTAGTTGTATGTAGTTCCTTTGCTTTTGGTTCTTTTTGATTGAGCCCGGACCATATTGTAGTTTGTGTCTGATTGCAGCATAGGCTGCATGAAGACGTTATACATGGGCGATTCCAAGGATATTAGTGTTGTAATTTATTTTACATACATACATACACACACACACACACACACATATATACACACACACACACACACGTACATATGTATGTATATATATATATGTATTCCATTTTCTACTGCAGATATATTCAGGTGCAGCTTTAAAGCTTTACAGTATTTTGTTACTACTGTTATACAATCATGGCCCACCACATGTGTAGAATGCATCTGAAGTGCTTAAAAATATATAGCTTTAAATTATTTTCATAGTTTCTTTTTATTTAGGTGTGTGTGTGTGTGCATGTTATATATACAGGTGCTTTTGGAAGCCAGAGAGGGTGTCAGATTCCTTGAATCTGGAGTTGTAGGGCATTTGTGAACTGTCTGATGTGGGTGCTGGAAATTGAACTCAGGTTATCCTGAAGAGCAGTTAAGTGCTCTTAACCACTGAGCCATCTCTTTAGTCCTTAAATTTTTACATTAAGAAAAAATGTGGTACCACCACTCTGGAAATCAACCTGGAGGTTCCTCAGAAAATTGGAAATAGATCTACCTGAAGACCCAAGTATGTCACTCTTTGGCATATACCTAAAAGATGCCCCACCATACCACAGGGGCATGTACTCTACTATGTTTATAGTGGCCTTATTTGCGATAGCCTGAACCTGGAAAAAACCCAGATGTCCCACAAAGAAAGAATGGATTCAAAAAATGTGGTTCATTTATACAATGGAATACTACTCAGCTATTAAGAACAAGGACATTATGAGTTTTGCAGGCAAATGGATGGAACTAGAAAATATCATCCTGAGATACCATCCTGAGTGAGGTAACTCAGACCCAAAAGGACGCACGTGGTATATACTCACTAATAGGTGGATATTAGCCAAAAAAGTACCGAATACCTAGGTAATCCACAGAACTCAATAAGGTTAACAAGCAAATGGGTCGAAGTGAGTATGCTTTAATCCCACTAGGAAGGGAGAAGAAAGGAATCACTGAGGCAGAGAGGAGGAGGGACCTGGGTGAGGCAGGGGGCAGGAGAGAAGCCCCGAGGGCAAGCAGAATAAATGGAAATATGCAAACTTAGAGGGTGGGAGATGGGGGGGACCCTCAAAAAATGTAATAAAATAATGATTAAAGTTTTCACATTAAGGATCTAGGAAAAACAACATGTTAGACCTTTAAAAAGGAAAAGGAAGTACATGTTGAGAGCTAAAAATCATTGGTATGAAAAGCAAATAACATTCTGCAATATGTTTTTTATACTGTTACTTTAAATGAGGCATCATACTAAGATGAGTGTATAGCATAACAACACGCACTCCAAGGCTAGGAACGAAGAAGAGGCTGGAGTCCCAGAACCACCTTTCTGTTTGCACTATTAATATATACTATGTATATGTATCCACATACATATGACCAGCCCAACTATTTTTAAAAATTCTACTACCATTACAGAGCTAAACTTGTAATGCATTGACCTTAGGGGGACAGTGGTGATCCAAAACATGTTAACAGTCAAGTTCACTCACTTTGTTAACATTGTGTAAAAGAAAAAGCATGTGATCATCTCAGTAGATAAAGAAAAACTTGCCATAATTCTTTTAAAACTTGCCCACTAAGTGCCCCCAGTTTCTAAAGCTTTGCATGAAAAATCTTAGAGCAGACTTTCTCCAAATACTTAGAATCAAGGTAAAAATATTTGATATACACTTGGATACAACAACAAAGAGATAGAAAAGGAATTAAAGTGAGTAATTAGTTAATCTGAGTATTAAAATGGTAAAAATCTGAAAGAAATGTTTTGGAATTAAAATGTGAACTCAACAATCATGTAGGGCACCTAATATGTACACAAAATTTATTTTTAGCCCTAAATAAATGAAGTTTATAAATGCCCTTGAGGCAGCCAGTCTTCTTTCATATTTTACAAGAGTGGGTCTGTGTGTCACTCTAATATTAGAAAAGATTACCATTCCCATCTTTGGTATGCCTTTATTTGGTAGCTTTTACATCTCTGTCAAAGAAGCCACAGTCTATGTTGTGAGCAGCTCCATTCAGTGTTCCAGCAGAGCCTTCAACCAATAGGTAATAAGGAACTGGGTTTCTTCAGCAACTTGTCTGAAGGACCGGAGAGTGAATCGTCCTTATACTAGTCCCACGAGGACTGCAGTTTTGCTTGGCAGTTGGAGTACAACCTAATTAGAGACCATGACTTAGAACAACCTAATAAGCAACTCCTAATTCTCAGTCTTTTGGAAACTTGTATAGATGAGCCTGGTAGCAGACTTAAAATCTCATCTTCCTGTGGAGAGTGGCCCAGTGGTAGGGCTCTTGAATAGTGTACGCAAAGCCCTGGATTTAATACATGGTCTTGCAAAAAGGAAGAGAAATGGAAGGAAGGGAACAGAGGAGGGAAGGAAATCTGCGAACCAAATAAGAAGTACAGAAATGGATTCATGTAAACATAGTACGGTGCTGAGATAGCTCAGTGGAATAAAGGATGAGCTCAACAAATGAATAGTATTGAACACCTTGGCATTTATTTGTTAAAAGAGAACTCTCTTGCCATGAAGAGTTAACCTTGAAATGAGTCATGCTGATTTAAGGATCAAAGCCATTAAATTCGTAAGAAAACTTAAGAAAAAAAAAGCAGGCAAAGATTTAGGATATATAATCATCAACTAAAAGTAGAGGAAAGTGATGTTAAAGTTCCTCAAATTGAAAACTTAATGCTTTTCAAATCATATTAAGAGAACAATGGTTGGCTGTAAGTATCTGTATCTGTCCCAGTCAGCTGCTGGATAGAACCTCCCAGAGGACAGCCATGCTAGGCTCCTGTCTGCAGGCACAGCACAGCACCAGTAATACTGTTAGGGTTTGATGCCCGCCTGTGGGATGGATCCCAAGTTGGGCTGGTCACTGGACAGCCTTTCCTTCAGTCTCCGCTCCATTTTTGTCCCTGCATTTCTTTTAGATAGGAACAATTCTGGATCAGAAATTTTGAAGGTGGATTGGTGACCCCATCCTTCATTGGGAGTTCTGTCAATGTGCTGGAGGTGGTGTCTTCAGGTTCCTTCTTAGCACTGCTGGGACATTTAAGCTAAGGTTACCCCCATTGTGTCCTGGGAGCCTCTCACATCCCAGTCTCTGGAACTTTCTAGAGGTTCCCCCCACCCCGCCCCCAGAGGCTGCATATTTCCATTTATTCTCCTGGCCCTCTGGGCATCTCTCCTGTTTCTACCCCCATACCTGATCCTGTCCCCCTAACCCCCCTGTTCACCCAGGTCCCTCCCTTCCTCTGCCTCCCTAATTATTTTGTTCCCCTTTCTAAGTATGATTGAAGCATTCTCATTCTTCTTGTTAAACTTTTTACAGTTTGTGGGTTATATCATGGGTATTCTATTCTTTTGGCTAATATCCACTTATCAGTGAGTATATACATTTTCCTTTTTGGGTCTGGGTTACCTTACTCAGGATGATAACCCCTGTGGAAGTGTTAGGGGAAGGATTGAAGGAGCTGAAGGGAAGGGGATGGCAACAAACATTATCAACTAACCAGGACCCCTGGGAGCTCCCAGAGACTAAGCCAACAACCAAAGAGCATACATGAACTGGTACGGCCTGGTCCAAGACCCCTGGAACATATGTAGCAGAGGACTACCTTGTCTGGTCTCAGTTGAAGAGGATGTGCCTAATCCTGTAGAGACTTGTGGCCCCAGGGAAGAGGATGCCCAGGGAGGGATAGGGGAGAGGAAGGTGCCCTCTCAGAGGCAAACAGGAGGGGGAATGGGATGAAGAATTCCAGGAAAGGGGACCAGGTGGGAGGGCAACATCTAGAATATAAATAAATAAATAAATAAATAAATAAATAAATAAATAAAATAAAATAAGTAATAATGAATAATATGTACATAGAAAAAAAAGGGAACAAACACCATACCACAGCCTGGGAAACAACATCTTTAATGGTTTATTATTCCGATACCCAAAGTATACTTAGAAGCAAAATATAATACAAAGATTTATACCTGTAGATTAATTTAAGGAACATTAGTTTCTTGAAAATATATTTTCTAGTCATGATCATGGATATCATTTCATTGATTTGACCCTTGATTTCTTTTAGTGATGTTTTATAATTTTCAATATAGACATCTTTACTTATTCTGTTAAGTTTACATTATTTTGATTTTATGAATGGAATTAGTAGTCTTTGATCATTTACTACATTTGTATAGAGTTGATTTCTACATGTCAATTTAATTTCTTGTATTTTTGCTAAATGTATTAGCTATAAAAAGACTTCTGTAGATTCTCTGTAGGATTTTCTCTGTATGATTGTGTCATTTTTCATAAAGGTCTTCTGTAAAGATACATGGTTTCTTCCTTTCCTATGGATCTTAAATGTTTTATGTGTATATATACATTATGAAATTAATGACCTTATATTTACTGATCCTGTGGGAAAATTCTGTTTTTAAATATTCTTTTTTAAGTATTTTAAATATCCATAAGGAAAATACACTCTTTGGTTTTCAGTCTTTATTTGTAAGATAAAATATCTCTAAAGTATATGCTACATATCAGCAATGTGTTTGTTGCAAAAAGGGATGCAAAGGGATTATGTTAGTCATGTTTTGAGTAAGTGAATTTTATATATATTGAGTTTTTAGCCTGTTTACTTTTGTATTTCTTAATGTCAATGCTTAAATGAAATAAATAAGAATTTTCTGTTGAATTTCCTATTTGGCTTCATTTAATCAAGTTCTGGTGATAGTTATAGAACTTTTCTTAGTATCTGACATTTATCAAATGTTTAAAACTTAGTTTATTAATTCTTTAGAAATTTTTTCTTTAGTATTGAAAGTGCACTAATTTGTTTACATTTTCTACTCTTTTTTTCTTTTGCTAGGTATAACCCGAAAAAACCCAAGAACACCTCTTTCTGATCTTCAAGGCATGAACACTCTAAATGAAAAAAATCAACAGTAAGTTTGGTATATGTTTATTAGTCAATATGAAATGAATAACTATCTTATATTTTTGGATATTGCTATATAGCCTGGTAGCCTGTGATTTTCCTGCCCTAGGCCGAGTGCCAGGATTATAGGTATATGCCACCACACTCAGATTTATGTTTTTGTATATTTGTGAGAATGTGTTGTGGGCATGTTTGCGTGGGTAAGGGTGACTGTATCATGGCACATCTGTGATGCTCAGAAGACAACCTTGGATGTCAGTCCTTTGTTTTACCTTTTCTGAGGTGGTTGGATCTCTTTGTTGTTCACTACTGTATACATCAGGCTACCTGGCTCACAGGTTTCTGGAGACTGTCCTGTCTTTGCCTTGTGTCTTAGCATAGGAGTACTGGGTTTGTAGATGTGTTATGGCATCGAGCTTTTACATTAGTTGTGGGGTTCTTTCTCAGATCGTCAGGCTTATGCACCAAGTGTGCAAAGCACTGAGTTGTCTCCTGTTCACAGATTTTGTTTTACAATTTAATTTATTTTCTTTGTCTTTGTTGAGGTTGGGAAATGTACATATGTGTTTGAATATGAGAGAAAAGGGCTGGAGAGAGGGCTCAGGGGTTAAGAGCACTGACTGCTCTTCCAGAGGTCCTGAGTTTAATCCCCAGCAACCACATGATGGCTCACAACCATCTAAAATGGGATCCAGTGTCCTCAGAGCAACAGTGTACTCATATACATAACATAAATAAATAAATCTTTAAAAAAATGAGAGAAAAACTTGGAGGACCAATTTCTCTCCTTCACCCATGCAGGACCCAGATGTCAAACTAATATGAGTCTTGACAGCAAGTGCCTTTTTCTCTGGGCTATCTTTCTCTTCCCACGCTGGGATTTCTATTCTGTTTGCTTCTTGGTTTGTTTGAGACAGTGTATCATATAGTATAGTCTGTCTTAGAGCTTGCTATGTAACCAGAGATGATCTTGAATTTCTGATCCTCCAACTCTATAAAGTGTTGGGAGTATAGACCTGAATCACCCCACACTAGAGTTTGACAGTTTTTCATGTCTTTGACTTGTGTATTTGCGAAGACACCTTTTTCAGAGATAGTTCCTTTTTACTTGTTTTTTCCCTCTGAATAGGCCATGCTTTCTGAGTATGTTGTGTGTGTATGAGTATGATTTCTAATTTTTATTTTTTGATTAGTATGCAGTGAGCATTTGAACATAATAATGTGGTAACTAGATATCAGGTCAGTCTTCTTTTGCACTTTTCATCTGTTCTTTGATTGGTTTGTTTTTATCTTCTTTTGCTGTTTGCTTGTTTTTTAACTGTAGACTCTTTTCTATGCCCAAGATCAGCTACAGGTATACCATTAAGAACTTCTCAGGTATTTTATGTTTCTTTTCCTTGGACACATACAGTTATTTTCTAACTTTATGCACATACATGAGTTATTGTTAGTATCTGATCTCCAAAACAGAAAAGGAGAGGATGTTGAAGGCTGGGGGTAGAAATGGTGATTACCTTTTAAGTCCTCTGAAGGCATTCAAGCTTGCAGCAGTGTAGAAGGTACAACAGCGTTCACTATGTATTTGGTTTTTTTCCTGCATGATTAAAGCATTTATCACCTCATAATTCTCTGATATATGGAGGAGAAAGTTCTTTTGGCCCATGCTGGCTATGAGCTGTTTACCTTTTTATGTAAAGGTTAAATAACTGATAAATGATCAGACTTAGTTGAGTTTTAGCAGAGAAACCTTTTCCTGGAAGTTACAAGCTATCAATCGACCTTAGATTTCCAAAATACAGTCATTTTCATTTAGCTTTGCTTTCTACATTTTTATTTATTCATGGTTGACTGTAGACTCAGAAATATTGCATAGGGAATTCTAAAAATAAAAAATTCCCCAATTTAAAATTATGTGCTATTCTTTATGTTATGAATGTTGATTCTTACCATTGTTCTATTTTATTTTATTTTATTTTTTTTATTTTTTTATTTTATTTTATTTTATTTTATTTTATTTTATTTTATTTTATTTTATTTTATTTTCAGTGTTTCAGGACAGGGTTTTCTGTGCAACCTTGGCTGTCCTGGAACTTGCTCTGTAGACCAGACTGGCCTTGGACTTACAGAGATACATCTGCCTCTGTCTACCACATTCTGGGATTAAAGGCAGGGGCCACTTACGCACTGCTCTGTTTTATTATTAATTATTGCCATTAAGTTGGCAATATTAATAATAAAATATAAAATAATAATAAAATATGGCTCATTTAGAAATGAAACATCATAAGTATTTGTCTTAGTATTCATTGTTTTGAGGAGACACCATGACCATGGCAGCTTTTATTAAAGTCCATTTTCATCATTGTAGAGGCACGGTGGTGAGCAGGCAGGAAGAAGAGAGGAAGCTTGTGAGCCTGGTTTGGGCTTTTGAAACTTCTAAGCCTACTCCTAGTGACATACTTCCACCTATGAGGCCACACCTCCTAATCCCTGTCAAGTATTGCCACTCCCCAGTGACCAAGCATTCAAATATTTGCACCTATGGGGGACATTCTTATTCAAACCACTACAGTATTTGTGTGTAAGAAGTGAATACTGACTGCGGTGGACTTGGAATATATATTCTTTGTGAAGAAAGGGGGTGACTACTGTAGTTTTATTAGAATACGTTTAGCTAGTGCAATTGTTGTCTCAAGTGAGGAGACATATCTGGTGTTTCTTGCCTGCCATGAGATGGGTAATATTATTTCACCCCATAACTTTTTTCCCACTCTAGTACCAGGGGTTGGATTTAGAACCTTGTTCATGCCAGGCCAGCAGTCTACACTCAACAGTATCCTCAGTCCCAACCCTCTTTTTGCTGTGTTTGTTTTTGGTAAGATCACACTAAATTGCTCCAGCTGATCTTTAACTCACATCAAAGTCCAGGCAGGCCTTGAACATGTGATCCTTCTGCCTTAGCCTCTTAAGTGAAATATAAGCCTTTGTCGTGAGGTCTTGGCATCACTGCGATACGTAATGAGCTGATAGTCTCGAGTTAAATGCTTTTAACTTTTTAAATTGTTGCTCAGTTAAGGCTTCATCACTTTATGCTGTTGATCAAATTTTTATTTTTCTTGTCATTTTCTTTTATTTTGTATGAGACAGGATGTGGTTTAGAGTGTCCTTGAATTCAGGCAATACTCCTGCCTAAGCTTCTCAAATGCTAGGATGTATAGAAGCATACAATTACATCTGGCTTTTGATGAAAAGTTTTATGGTTAAATTTTTACACATTTCTTTTTTTTTTTTTAATTACTAGAAATATATTGTTCCACATGCTTTTGGCCATGTGCTTTTTTGGTTTTTGGAGACAGGGTTTATTTGTATGGCTGTCCTGGAACTCACTCAGTAGACCAGGTGACCTTGTGCTTTATTGTTTGTTCCTGCTTAAGCTGCACTTTTCTGGTTCCTGAGCCTTTTCTGTGGTAATTCCACTCTTCTATGTGCTGGTGTAAAACAGTCTTTACTAAAGCATTTGGGGTCCTTCGATGTCCTCTTTGATTTGATTTTCTGTCTCTTTTTGGTTTTCTTTATCTCTCTCATTTCTTCACCTCTAATGCTGCTGGTACTCGTTTAAAAAGATCTTGGAGTGATCTGTAGTTGTTTCTCAGACAATATACATTTGCTGTATCATCAAGCCATGCCAGCTTTAACCTCAAATGAGAGTTGGGAATTGTTATCACCACTCCTTCCATCATCACTTGAGTTCAAGCTGTCAATCTATTTTGCATGGATTATTCTAACTTAACCAAGTTTTGTCCTCAGCCTTCAAAGCTTTATTTTCTACAGTAGTCAGATGATTGTTTTATAACATGAATCATGTTAATGTTTTACTTAAAATTCTCATGTTTTTCTCTCATCCATTCCGGTAAAAGCCAAAATCCTTAGGCTACCTAAAAATGCACATTGTATCATGGCCTCTTTCTCAGTGTATCTCAGACTTAAGAGCAGCATGCCCATCGTAGGAATTTTGTGTTTGTTCTCTCTTAACAAGATAACTGCTTCATTTTCTTTATTTCTTTCTAATTTCTGTTTAATTAATTTAAAATATTTTTGTAACACTCTTTTTATATAATACTAAGGCTGTCTTGAGGTCCTCAATGTAACCATGCCTGACCCATAATTGATGAACCTCCTGCCTCTCTTTCCAAGTTTTGGGATTACAGGCCTATATCACTACACTTGACATCTTTATTTAAGCTGAACCTTTTCTATGAGACCTTCCCTAACTACTGCATTTTAAAAGCTTATTGTATTTTATTTTGTTTAGTTTTTATCCTTCATCTGGTTACTTGACCCAGAACATGGTTTCCTATATACTTATTAGTGTCTTTATACTTATAAATCTTGTGATAGTGAGGATTTTAGTTTGGTTTTTTAACACTGTATATGCAGTGATAGAAGAATAATTGACATGTATTTTAGACTAATGAGTGAATATCTTCTACATGTTCATATGTTACTAGTGTACTTAGTTTACGAGAGTTTCAAGTCTTCCTCCTAAGTATTTATAGGTTCAAGAGTTTCAAGCTTTCCTTCTCAGTATTTATAGGATTCTTTCCTTTTTCTTAAGAATATTACTTGTAGACCCCTTTCCCCTTATACGTAGAGAGTTTTCTTCCTAGGTGTTTTTGTTGTTTGTTTGTTTTTGTTCAGGGTTTCTGTAGCTTTGGGTGTACTAGAACTCACTGTGTAGAATAGGCTGGCCCCAAGCTCCCAGAGATCCCTCTCCCACTTCCTCCAGAGGGCTGGAACCACCATGCCTGGCCTCCGTCAAGTTTTTTTTTTTTAATTGATTGCTTTGGCTTCTTTTTCATGCTAGATGTTTTCCTTGGATGTCTAGTGAGTATTAGTCAACTATTCATGTTTAAGATTGATGAGAAGTGTCAGTCTGGGTATGGAAGGGTCATCTCCTGAAATTTCAGTGTGTTTTCCTCTTGCTTGGCTAAATTATCCCCCACAATGTATGCCAACTAATTACTCCTCCCCCTCAGGTATTCTCATTCTTGGAGAAGTTTGATAAAAGACTGAGTACCTCTATTTTCAGTTTTGTAATATTACTGTCCTCCTCACCTGTGCATACTTTTGTTTAGATTACAGACTTTGTCTTCCACCCTTTGTCCACAGAAAGAAAGAACAAAGTCTGGGAAATTAATATGTTACCCATATTGCAAAGATTGTTCTCAGTTTTATTTTTTGGTTCTTAAGTGTTAATTCCTTTGAAATATTAGTTGTATTTTGTAATGGCTTCTATAGAGATTTAAATATATTATCTTTACCTGGAAAGCCCTTCATTAAATGATATGCTATAATTAGTGGTAATTTGTTCATTCCTCTGACTCTAGTGCTGTTAGTAATAGCACTCTGTCTGTAGCAACAGCTTAATATATTTGGTTGATGTATCAGGAGCATGTGTGTTTATGAATAAGATGTTTCAGATAGAAACAGATATTCCATAGATTCATGTGTTCTATTAGTATTCTAAATCCCAGTGGGAGCCTTTGAAAGTTCTAGGAAAGAAGAAAGACATCTTAGAGTCTATTATGTATTAAAACGTACAACTTACATATAACACTATGTTAATGATGTCACCTATATGATGTATTCATTTACCTATACATTTGTATATGAATGTGCCTGAATATACTAGAACTTTTTTTCTGAGTGACAGAGAGGTTCCACTTGATTGGTAGCTATTGTAATAAAACCATTTTATGCTGCTTAGCATCTTTTAATGTTCCATTTCTATAATGTACTGTATTTTATATTAATAGAATAATACAGAGATAATTAACGTAAGCAAATTATATTAATTTTTTTCAGTGATACATTTGATATTGCCTGGAATGTCAGATCTGGCATTCGACAAAGTAGACTACCAACTAGCAATACTTCCTTGTTTGATAAAGATGGGATATTTGCTAATTCAGCAAGCAGCAAACTCCTGGAAAGAGCTCATGGAATTCTCACGTCAGTATTGGTTATTAATAGACTTTTTACAAGTAGTATTTTACTAAATTTTCTTACTGAACAAATAATGAGAGATGAAGTATTATTGTCATGGATATACTTTTGATTGAAAAAGAGTAAAATGTACTTAGTTTTTAAAACTATGAGTCTAATGCATTATATATATCATTACTTTGGTTTCTGTTTCCGTTTCCCTATTCACTATTAAAACTCAGAAAGGGTTAAATGTGTTAATTTCAGAGAACGATTATTATTATTTTCTTCTAGAGAAACACAAAACTTAGCTTTTTAAGGATTTCCTGTTATTTTTACAATTATGATTATTTAGATCTAGCACTTGGAAAGGAAAGTCTGATGCCTGTGGTGACTACTTATCTTCCACTCCCTGATGAAGGAAGTAGTTTGGACCTGGAGACGACTAGACATGATGCTCCATTAAACTCCGATAGATTTTAGTTGATAGTGTTAATGGATTGTAGGCATTTTCCAGGCATCTATTGTTAATGTGTCATAAAGTAGATCTGTACCTGAATTGGTGTCCTGAATCTCTATGGAAGTAATTGCTTATTACTAATTTACTTATGTCTTATGTTTACTTATGTTCTACTCTGGAAACGTGTCCTAACTCAATTAATTCTCTCAACAATGCTAAGAAACATGTGGCCTCACTTTCCTCACTTTAGAGTCTATCATAGTAAAACCAGGGGTTAGAGAAGTTCTACTTTGGTAGGTGGGAAACTGTTCATGACAGACTTTTATAACCTCTCAACCAGTGTTCTAACCATTGAGCTGTATTTGCACTTTTTCTTTTCTTTTTTATTATTTATTTATTTATTTTTTGTTTACACTCCAGATTTTATTCCCCCTCCCGCCCCTGTCCATCCTCTGACTGTTCCACATCCCATACCTCCTCCCCCACCCTCTGTCTCCATGAGGATGTCCTCACCCCTTACCCCTCACCCCATCTGACCTCTAAACTCCCTGGGCCTCCAGTCTCTTGAGGGTTAGGTGCATCATCTTTGATTTGAACACAAACCCAGTAGTCCTCTGCTATATATGTGTTGGGAGCCTCATATCAGCTGCCTTTTTGGTGGTCCAGTGTTTGAGATATCGGGGAGGGGGGGGGAGTCCAGGTTAATTGAGACTGCTGGTCCTCCTGTGAGGTTGGCCTTCTCCTCAGCTTCTTTCAGCCTTTCTCTAATTTATCCATAGGGGTCAGCAGCTTCTGTCCATTGGTGGGGTGCAAATATCTGCATCTGACTCTTTCAGGTGCTTGTTGAGTCTTCCAGAGTGCCATCATGATAGGTCCCTTTTTGTGAGCACTCCATAGCCTTAGTAATAGTGTCAGGCCTTGGAACTTCCCATTGAGCTGGATTCCACTTTGGGTCTGTCTCTGGACCTTCTTTTCCTCAAGCTCCTCTCCATTTCCATCCCTGCAGTTCTTTTTCAGACAGAAAAAGAGTTGTATTTGCTGTTTTTCTGAACCCTTAATAAAAGTTCACTTCTATGAGTAGGAAAAATGAATAGAAAAAGATTAATTTCTAAAATTAAAGATGTTTTGTTGAAATGTATATTTTTAACTATTTATGAAATTTAGGCATATCTTAAAACTCTTAAAATGGTAAAATAAATCTTGGTAGATGTTGGAAAGTAGAACCCCAACTACATATAAGATACTGAAATTTAGGGTTCAAAAGTACAGCCCCACATCACTAATCTTCAGGGTCAACTGTGCTTATTCCCAAGGTACTATGCTGGTCCTCCCTTCATGTCTTGTCTGCTCTTACTTTTTTCTCAGTGATACCTGCTTAGTTGAGTCAGATAAGGTTTTGAACAGAGGGCCACATTCTCCAAAGGAGGAGTTTAGTTGCCCTGAGAAGGCTCTTTTATCACTCATTTATACTGTAGGTTTTTTATTTTTCTTCTTCTAATGGATGTCTTGTCTTTATAGGAGAAACAGAAATTTCAGGTCAAAACCTGTTCTTCCAAAGGTGAGTATTGTGGAAGAAACTTTATTATTTCCTTATTGAGTAATTATTTCTTATTATTTGTGCCACCAATGTTTATAAATCAAGTATATGAAAAACCTTATTTATTTCCAAAATAGAGACTATATGTACTTAGTTGAATCCATTATGAAAATAACTAAGTCTGTTAGGAAATGGACAAGCCTAATATTTGAGGTAGATAATTACTTGTGACAAACACCATTCTCTAGTTTCTATAGAAGCTCTGAATATGCAAGTTTTGTTTTATATATAATTAATACTTTTCATTTTTCTTGAGCCAGCTTAAAGTGAAAATCTGAATTCTGAAAACATTTCTAGTTAGTCATTATGTAGGTCTCATTTATTACAGATATTGCACAGCATTTATATAAAGAATTAAATAGTCTGTTGTAAATACTTAGGTCTGCTGTTGTAGTATAAACACAATTTAGATAATATGAAACTGAACAAATATGTCCACATGCTGATAAAACTTCATTTATGAACACTGACTTTGAACTTCATATAAATTTTTGTATTAAAAACAATGACGGGGTGAGGTGCTAGGTTGGTCTAAGATCTAGTCTACATTGTAGATGCAGTAAACTCCTGGGAGCCTTTCCCATATTTGTTCTGGAGACAAGATCAGGTCTTGAATGTCTCTGGAACAAGTTCATATGTACATTGGATCTCACATTTATACTGTGCTCACTCAGAGGAAGGACTTCTCAGTTCTCTACTTCTGGGAGTTGATGGATTCCAAATTCCTGAATGTCTCTAGACCAGTGGTTCTCAACCTGAGGGGTGGGTCACATATCAGGTATCCTATGTATCAGATATTTATATTACTCTTCATTACAGTAAAATTATAGTTATGAAGTAGTAACAAAAATAATTTTATGGGTGAGGTCACCAGAACATGAGGAACTGAATTTAAGAGTCATAGCATTAGGAAGGTTGAGAACCATTGCTCTAGACCATGGGGAGGGGCTTTAAGCAGGTATTCCAGGGATCCACTTTTTATTGCATTTACTTTCCAAAATAAGAGATATAGTATAAGCAGAACTTTAGGAATTCAGTAGAGGGCTTCATTAACAGACTACATCAAGGGGAAGAAATGGTGAAGACTGAAAATGGCCTGAGGGACTTAAGGAATACCATCAAATGAAAGAATCTGCATATTATTGATGTATCTGAAGACAGAAAGAAAGGGACAGAAAACATTTCAAAGAAATAATATCAGGAAGGTTCCCAAGTTTAGAGAAGTAAATAACAATCCAGAGCCAAGGCATTAAATAATATAAATCTAGAGAGACCTATACAAGACATATAATCAAAATAGACATATAAATAGACATATAATCAAAATATCAAGATGTATAATCAGAATAGTAAGATAAAAATTTAAAAGATGTAACTTGTTGTATATATGTACCATAATCCCCCTATTTAGCAATCTTGCCTTTCAAAATGGAGACAGTTTGTTTCAGACAAAAGCTGAGAGAGATTAGAACATGATACATGTGCCTTGTTAAAAATACTGTAAGCAGTTCTTCAAGCTGCATACAAATGGTGTTATATAGTAACATGTAAACATAAAATATAAAACTGAATGGTGGGGATCAAAAACCATTTTGTCCCTACGTGATAACACACTCAAGGCTATGAATTTTGTAGGTAGGCAGTTCTTACCAAATGGGGAAAAGATAGGGTTATGACACATGTCTTAGTTAGGGTTTTACTGCTGTGAATAGATACCTTTGACATTCTTTTTTTTTTAAATTTTTATTTCTTATTGGACATTTTATTTATTTACATTTCAGATCTCCCCCTCCCTAGAAACCCCCATCCCATCCCCACTCCTCCTTTTTGCTTTTATACCTCTTTAATTACATGCAAGTGTTAAGGTCAATTCTAGGTTGAGGAACTAGCAATACAATAGATGCAAATAGTCAAGGAACAAGCGAGACAATAAACACAGCTATCAAAGAACAAGCAAGGCAATAAATTTCTGTGAACACTCCTATATATAATCACTGTTTCTAAGGGCTTATCAGGATGACCAAAATATCTGAGCTTACTTCCCTGTCCTAGCCCAAAGTCATTTTCATGTCCTGAAGCCTACTTCCTTGTTCTAGCCTAAGATTTAGATTACTGCCTGAAATTACTTCTTTGTTCTGGCCAAATGTCAGATTCCTTCTTGAAACCCACTTCCTGTCCTTGGCCAGTGTTATATTCCTGCCAAGCAGCCCATTTCCTTGTCCTTGGCCCATGTCAGATTCTTGCCAAGCAGCCTCAAAAGCTCTCTACCTCTCCCCCTTTTTTATTTCATAAACAAGACTGAGCCCATCTTAGGTTATTCTAACAAGAATACCTTCCTTACCCGTTGTGGAATATGCATTATCAAAAGCAGTGCACTTCTGTCTTAGGTTGGTAAGTGTCTGTGCAGAATCTTACCCGTCCTTGGCTTGCCAGCCTCTTAATTTAATAACTCTGTCTGGTGGTCTATCCAAAGCCACTCCTATAAGGACAAGATTTAATTGGGGCTGCCTTACAGGTTCAGAGATTCAGTCCATTATCATCAAGTTGGGAGCATGGCAGGATCCAGGCAGGCATGGTGCTAGAGGAGCTGAGAGTTTTACATCTTCATTTGAAGGCAGCTAGGAGAAGACTGGCTTACAGGCAGCTAGGATGAGGGTCTTAAGCCCACACCCAGAATGACACACCTACTCCAACAAGGCCACACCTCCTAATAGTGCCACTTCCTGGGCCAAGCATATACAAACCATCACAACACAGATGCCTTCTTATGTCACTTCTAATAAGATAATACCAAAAGCCTGGGCAAGAGAAATTAGGCTATGAAAAGAAAGAAAAGTTTCTTCTTTATCAAAAGAAAGAAAAGTCACCCAACTTGTAAAGGAAGCAGTGAAATAGTCTCTCTTAGCTTGTGACTTGTTATTAGAGCAATCTCTAAAGATCTTCTAAATAAGTGTTAGAAATAATGGATGAATTCAGTAAAGTTTGAGAACACAAGTGCAATATGAAAAGTCATGCTTTAATAGACTAACTCTAGTATCTGAGAAAATTCTAAACACAATTATGTCTATAATAGCACCATAAAATAGAATAATTAATAGTAAAATTAATCATGGAAGTGAAATATCTGTTTATAGAAAATTGTAAAATATTGATGAGAAAAATTGACAACAACACAATGAATGGAGAGTGAGTGAGCTTTCCAATTTATGGCTTATAAAAAGTATGAAGATAATCTCTAGCACCTATTGTGACTGATAGATTTATATATGGGATGCAGTCCCTATAATACTCATGTCACTTTACACAGGAGTGGAAAAATAGTCTTAACATAAATACACAAAGTTCCTCAATAGTTAAAGCAATGTTGAATAAAAAGAATGAAGCTTGAGATGTCATGGTATCCGTGTTAGTAATCAAATGAATCAAAAAGCAGTAGTAATCAAAATTGCATTAAATACCATTTTAAAACAATGATGGGCTTGAAAAGTGAGTCAGTGAGCAAAAGTACTTGTTGCATAAGCCCGAAGCCCTGAGTTTAAATCCCAAGAACCCACATATGATTGGGTATAGTAAGTAGCATGCATCTATATTTCTAATGCTTGTACAGCAAGATGAGAAGTAGAGACAGAGGAATCCCCAGAAGCTCATGGTCTGTCTGGCATATGTAGTAGCAAAATAAGGAACTGTTTTAGTCAAGGTGAAAGTTGAAGGGTATTCCAGAACCCAGATCTAGCAAGTAAACACCTTTTCTAAAAGGGCTTTGTCTTTTATTCTTTATGTAATGGTGTCTCATCCCATTGATGAGAGGTGGGCTTCACACATGATTGATTAATCAACACAGAGGAAAAGGGGGAGAGCCCTTATCAGGCTAAGCACTTTTGATGGAAAAACATTTCTCACAATTGGAAATAATGAAAACTGTCTGATGATATTTTTTTATATATCACACACACACACACACACACACACACACACACACACACACACATAATGTTTTTCCTTTGTCTTTAGCACTTGCTGGAGGTAAATTCTTTGAAGCATCTGACAAGATTGACCCTTCAAGATCGAATTACCAAATCTCTTCTTCATTTACACAAGAAGAAGAAACCTCCCAGTATCAGCGCCCAGTTTCAGGTTATTACCTATTCTACTCATGCCAAATCAAATATTTCTTTTCTTCCAGATTGTTGTTGAAATGTCAAAGTGAATTTCAAGATCGTTGTGGTATGATTGATATGCCTAAGAAGCTGTAATATTGAGTGCTCTTATGAGAAAGGAAGTTAGGTTGTATTTCCAAGAATCAAAGGTTTTTCTTTAATAAAATAGAAAGTAGAGAATACATTAAACCCAAAGCAAGTAGATAGAAGGAAAATAAATAAAAAGAATTCTGTAAAGCTATATACAGAAGAGGGCTGGAGAGATGGCTTAGCAATTTAGAGTGTACATGTGCTTGCAGAGGATTTGAGTTGAGTTCCTAGCACCAACATAAGGTGACTCACAACCTTAGTTCACCTCCTGGGTATCAGGTGTTTTGGGCCTTTGTGGGCAGTGGCACCATAGTACCTAGACACACACAGACGTATATATAACTAAAAATACAATAAATCTTTATAAGAAAAAAATTTAAAAAGAAAACAAAACATAAAGACTGTTGGAATAAGAAAAGAAAAGCTCTGGTTCTTTAGCAAAAACTAATATGCCGCTAGCCAGAATAACTGGGATGTATATACAAAACCAGCTATGGAAGAGAGAGCACCACAACATCCTTTATTAAAATTAAATTAAGGTAGTGTTTTTTTCTGGATGACTTTAAAAGCTGGTCAGAATGGAAGAGTATCAGGGTAGAGCATGATCTCATATGCTGTAATACCAGCACTCTGAAGGCTGATATAGGGACATCAAAAGTTAAGGTCAGCCTGAGCTACATAGCTTGTTATAGGTAGGTCAACCTTGAACAAATATAAAGATCCTACCTCAGAACGGAGATAGGAGTGGGTAACAAAATTACCCCAAATGTACATTTTAACAGAGTTACTTACTGAATGTGTAAAGCAGTGAAAAAGTATTTTCTCTTTAGAGTGCTCTAAAATGCATCTTCAATAATGACCGTTGCCAGAGTATCTATTTAAGATTAAGATTAAACTGTATTCCTTCTCCTTAGCAATTCTTGATTCAACCAGGGTGGGAATGGACACAATTTCCTTTTCAGAAACAAATTCTTTTACATATGTATAGAAATTTTTTGAATATTTTGCCACACAGTTGCTGTCACTTGTTGTCAACTCATGAGTAAAGGGGCATTCTAATGACACTACTTTTGTTGCAGGCCTCCTTAAGCAAGCTGATGGAGACACTTGGTCAAGCAGAACCATATTTTGTAAAATGCATTCGTTCAAATGCTGAAAAGGTAAAAATGTATTGTATACATGACAGCACATTGTTCAGGTTACTTCGTAATGAAGTCTGAATTGCCTAAAAGGGAATAGAGAGGAACTGTGTGTACTGTTTGTACAGAAAATAACACTCCATAAATACTATCTGTAGCTAGTCTTTTTATTTCCACACTTGCACATCTGTAAGTTATTTGTGGATTTGACTCAGTATGTACTAAAATCTGAGAGGCAAGTATTATTACCCCTTGAAATTCCATGAGAAAAAGATGATTTTTTCCTATGAAAATTTTATATATTCTTAAAGGCCAATTAATCTCCTTTGTTGGATACAGTCTATGTCTCTTGCTTAGAAAATTTTACCCATACCTTTTCTATTGCAGTACCTTTAATTAGCACTTGTCAAAATACATGTCAATATGTTTGTCCTTTTTATGTTCATTAAAGAAAAAAATAGTTTGTATCTAAAAAGCTCAAATACAGTAGACATTAAGTTCATCTGTCTTGATTCTTTATTTGCATACAGGTGTACACACTGCCACAGTGTATGTGAGGAGGTCAGAGGACAGCTTGTAGGAATTATCAGCTATATTTTACTTCATTTTTAGTAATCAGTCTGCATTTCTGCTGTTTAAAAGCTTTGTATTGGGGCTGGTAAGACAGCTCAGCAAGTAAAGGCTCTTGAGTGAAGCTTTACAACCTTTTTGTCCTCAGAGCCTATATGGTAGAAGGAGACTGATTCTCATAAATTGTCCTCTGACTTCCCCACTTGTGCTATGGTATATGTATACCTGCACATACACATATACAGACACACACACACACACACACACACACACACACACACACACACAGAGAGAGACACACTCGCACACACTGCAGTTGAGTTGCTTCGTTATTTCATGGCTTAAGTATTTCATCTGTGTAACGATCTACTGTAGTTATAATACTAAATTCATAGTCCTTTTTGAGTATTAATAGCTTACAGCTATGAAATACTTTGTTCCTGCTTGTATTGAATAGAAGTTTAAGTTTTAATTATTGAGACCTCGCTGTTCAAAAGTTGAGTTAATAAACTGTATCAGGTCTCAGGATAAGTTATGAATGTATTTAGATATATAACATACACACACATACACATTTGCTGTTTTTAACAAAACTTCAATCATTCAATTTTACCAATCAAGACTTGGAACCCAGATGCTGGGGTGAAAGCCTGCTCAGAAGGCTGACTGTCTTTCTCAGCCAACATCCCAGAAGGAAAAGGAAGTTCTCCTTCTCCACAATGTCTCAAAAACCCTCAAACTGAGTGTCCCTCCCTTTTACTTCCTGTGCACCTCTCTAGCCATCCTCCTGATTTCGCTCTTACTCTGTTTTTTCCTATTTCACTCCCTGCCAATTGGCTGTATGCTTTACCTCTTGACCTAAGGTTGACTTTATTTAATCTTGATTACAATAAACAGAAAGCTCTTGGATTAAAGGTTTCTAACAACTAGAAACAGGTTTTTCCAGTTTTTAAAAAAATACAGTTTTGAGTTTTCCAGTGTGATTAAATATCCTGCCACAAATGTTATCTCTCATTGTTATTTAACATCAATTATTCACTTGATTTTTTCCCTTGATTGCTTATATGTCCCATTTGGGATCAGTTTAGAGGATTACTAAAAATAAATAATATTATGAGACTGACCTGGAAATAATCTCAGAAGCTACAAATATCTCTCTTTAGAAGCTTAGAAGTGTAGTTTCTGAGATACCTAGGTGTGGTGAGCCCCTTTCTGTGAGTGCCTATGTAATAAAGGAGTTTAACGTTCCCAGGACTACAAGGATTTTTTTCTCCTCTTTTTCTGTGTTTGATGCCAATGTCGTAAGCAAAAGTATTACAGAAATAAACAGTTTTTGCCTTTTATTAGGAGAAGCTTGTCAGTTCTAAGCCAAAGTAACAGATGGAGTAGTAAGTTATATTCTTGGTGACCATACCAGATAAACATCTTGACGAAACACAAAATTCTAAACAACCCTTTGTTAAGTGTATCAGTACCATTAGTTTGTAGTGACTAAGCTCTGAGGCCTTTGGACATTTACATTTCTACTGCGTATTGTTGATCCTTTGCCTTTATGACTAGAGGAGCCTAGAAAGTTGATTTCTCTCTCATTACTCTAGAGTAGGCAGTCGTCTTCTCCTAAGTTACCAGTTAGGAGGAGAGTTTGTCAATTCTTCAACTGCATCTTAATCCCTTAGTCAGTCCCTAGCTACTTAAAGTTCAGCGTTACTTTTAAGACAAATCTGAATTTGTAGATATGCTAATTGTTTTCTTTGTTTGTCTGTTTTAGCTGCCCTTAAGATTCAGTGATGCCTTGGTACTAAGACAACTTCGGTACACTGGGATGCTGGAAACAGTTAGAATTCGCCAATCTGGATATAGCTCCAAATATTCTTTCCAGGTTATATATATGCTTCTATAATATATATATATATATAAAAATTCATACTCACATCACATAAGTTGTTTTTACATATCTTGCTTTATATATATATCTTTGGGATTCATCTTCTTTTAATTTTTTAATTTTTATACAAAGTTGTAAAAGCTTTAAGAGACTCTTTTGGAAGGACAGCAGTTCTGTTGAGCATATGTCCTGACAGAATATAGTACTTGGCTATTCTCATTTGATCCGAATGTTTGCCAATATTAAGATTAACCATAATTTAGCAGTTTTCACACCGATTTTTTTCCAATAATTGAAATAATTCAATGAGAATTATCTAGTCAAATAAAAGGTTTCATTTGGTTTTTCCTCAAGTGTTCCTAGTAAGATTTCTTATCTATGAAGTGGTAGAATGTTATTCAGCAATCTGTTCTGTGTGTAAAAATTATATTGGAACCTTTTAGGAACTGAGCAGTTTTTGCTGTTATGGAAAGAGAAAACTTGATTCTCAGTTGTATGTTCCAGTAGCTGCTGTATTTCCTATCATACTCTTACTAAGATTTCAGTTTCTTGCTAGATGACTTTTTTTGGTCCTTGGTATGGCTTTCTCAAAAGGAATAACTTACTTCTTTTTAAAATTCGGTTTCCATTTGGTAGCATACTGTTTCAAACTCGGTATCTTTTCCTTCTACTGGTTTTAAAACTATATTTTTAAAAGATGTTTTCAGTTTTAGTTTATGTTTATGGGTGTTTTGCCTGCATGCATAGCTATGCACCATGTGAGTATAGTTTCTTTGAAGGGCAGAAGTAGGTGTCACATTCTCCCCAACGAGTTAGAGATTGTTGTTAGCAGGTGTGTTGACTTGGACTATAACCCAGACCTTGGAAGAGTTTCCAGTGCTCTTAATCACTGAGACATCTTTCCTGCCCTTCCTATTTATAATATTTTAAAGTAACACTGTGTCTTGTTCACCCTACTTTTTTATTAATAAGTTCTGTTCTATTAATAAGAATTGTTTGACAATTTCCTACATGTATATAATTAATTCTGGTTACTCCCATAACCACTCTCTTTTACCAGTTTTCTACCCCCTGCCAGTGTACCTTCTACTTTTAAAAGGATAAGAAAACAGGCTTTAGAATACATTTCCTCGTGTGGCTCACTGCTCTCTTACCGTATATTCTGATTCTTTTCCCTGATACCTCGCTTTAAATAAAGTTTTATTTTTACTAAAAGGCTGAGAAACCCATCAGTAAAAGGATAGTCTGTTTAGGGCATAGTACTCGTCTTGTTACTTTATGATCTGATACCATTTTCTTTTTACTTTTCAGGATTTTGTGAGCCACTTTCATGTACTGCTTCCTCAACATATTATCCCATCTAAATTTAATATTCAAGATTTCTTCAGAAAAATAAATATTAATCCTGATAATTATCAAGTTGGAAAAACCATGGTAAGTATATATGGCCTTAGTCAAAATTGAGAACATTTTATATTTTAATAATAATACTTGTCTTTGTCTATGACTTTCATGAAAAGATAATTTGCATCAGGTTATTACAAGGAAGTTGATTAAGTTAGATGGTTTTTTGTTTATATCTATCTACCTACCTACCTAACTTCCTCCCTCTGTCTGTCTGTCTGTCTTATCTATCTCTCTATCTCTCTATATCTCTCTCTCTACCTACCTACCTACCTACCTACCTACCTACCTACCTAACTTCCTCTGTCTGTCTGTCTGTCTATCATCTATCTATCTATCTATCTATCTATCTATCTATCTATCTATCTATCTGCCTATCTACCTATCTGTGTGTGTTGTGGGGGGCATGGCACGGGTGTAGAAGTCAGAGGAAAACATGTGGAATCAGTTCTCTTCCTTTACCATGGGCATCCCAGGGATGAGACTCAAGTTTTCGGTCTTAGTGGCAAGTGCCTTTACCTACTCTGCTATCTTGGCTGCCCACAAATTTGATTTATTATTATTGTTGTTGTTGTATTTGTGTATGGATAATGTGTGAATGCTAGCACATCCATGGAAGACAATTGGTCTTCTTTTATTTTAGGTTCATAACTGACCCCAGGACCTTTATTCTTTTTATTTTTTATTTTTTTTAATGCCTTAGCAATAAAGGTGCTTGCTGTCAAGGCTGATAACCCAGAACTCATATGATAGGTAGAATAGAACTGACTTCTATAGTTGTTACCTGACCTATATACAACCTGAAATCAGATGATATTAGTATTAATCATTAGAATTTCTAGCCAGTGTTCTGACTACAGCTTCGTCTGTAATTCAAACCATGTCTCAGATATTTTACTGTAATGACCGACTTAGCCTGTCCACAGTAACATTGTTATCCAGACTCTTCTACTGCCACTTTCAACTGTTTTCTGTATTACCTTTTATTTATATGTTTTCTTCCTCTTCCTCTTCCTCCCCTTCAAATTTTCAAGGAGAAAACCATGATCACCTTGGGCTTACCACTATGATTTAATCCTTTTATACATTTTTTTTTTAAATGATTCTTGTATTTTAGCCTGTTTCTCTATTCCTGGTTGCATTTTGTTTTTGCTCCTTAAGATCATTTTCTCTGTATTACTTTGACAATATTAAACTGCTGGGTTTTTTCTATTTTATTCATTCTATTTAACTTATTCTACTTATTTATTAAAATCATTTAAATATGATGCTTTCTTTATGTTGACCTCATGATCAATTATAATCCCAGTGGTATCCTCATTAAATTTATATATTTTCCTGACTGGTCCTCATTGTTAGGCCAATAGTACTGCATACCTGCAATCTAAACACTAGAAAGCAGTACCAGGAAAATCACTTATTCATGACAATTCTTAGCTGCATAGAAATTCAAGGCCAGCTTGGGCTACATCAGCATTTGCCACAAAACATATGAAAAAATAACCCCCACTTTATATTGTAGCTTCATAATATCTAACAGTACTTTGTGACAGTTATTGAGTGGTTTTAGTTTGTTTAACTTTTTATGTTGCTCAGGTAAGATCATCTATCTCAGTCCTTAGTAATTCGCTCTTTAGCTCCTGTTTTATGTAATACCTGCCTGCTCCTAAAGGTGAACTGTAGTTCTATTTCAAAGAGATATGTCTAATTTATACTTTGTATTTACCTGCTTTTGGCTCTGTGGAATAAGAAGCCTTTAATGCACACTAGACTTCAAGTAGATGGTCATTGTTGTTTCCTTCAGGTTAGACTCACTTTTTAAGATCTGTGGTTTTTCGTTTTCCCCTTAATCTAACATTTTCAAAGATTGTGACATACTATCCAGTGGTATCCTGACATACTATCCAGTGGTATCCTGATCTTTTACAGTACTATTTTTTTCCAGATGAAAGGCAGTGATGTAGCATAGTATTTGACAGTGGAAACTTGGTGCTTTTCTCACTTTGCTGTTTCCTCTCTCATGTACAAGTATCTTTTTCTCAGTTTGAGAATGTTTACTTTAGTCCAGGTGATTAACCATTTATCAGTACTTTGTTTCCATTTCTGTCATTATATGTGGTGTTCTCTGAAAGTTTACCACAGAAATAATAATGCATGAATGATTTTCATTTTCCCCCAGCTTTATTCCTTGTCTGTTTTCCTTCTCATAGGTTTTCCTAAAGGAGCATGAGCGACAGCACTTACAAGATCTGCTTCATCAGGAAGTGCTTCGCAGAATCGTCCTGTTGCAGCGCTGGTTTCGGGTCCTGCTCTCTAGGCAGCAGTTCCTTCATTTGAGACAGGCGTCTGTTATTATTCAGGTGGGATGAGAAAGGGATTCTCTGTATGAAAGTGATTTTGCTTCACCTTCATTCATTAACCAGAACCATTTTACTCTGAAACATTTAAATTATAATGAAACTTGAGTGATGAGAATGAATCATGCTTATTTCTTTTTTTTTTTCATTTTTATTTATTCTCTCATATATTACATCCGACAGCAGTTTCCCTTCCCTCCCTCACCTTCTCTTTCTCCGGGATCCACCTGCCCCCACCCTTAACCTCCCTTCAAATAAGAGTGGCCATCCAGGGCCATCAACCAAATATGGCATAACAAGCTATAAATAGGATCAGGTACATGTTCTCACATCACGGCTAGATGAGGCATCTCAGTAGGAGAAAGAGTCCAAAGGCAGACAGAAGAGTCAGAGACTGTCCCTGCTCCCATGGGAGTCTCACAAGAACACTCACTTTGCCATACAACCATAACCTATACCCAGAGCACTTGGGTCAAACCTATACAGGCTCCCTCATCTCTGTGAGCCCCCTTGAGCCCTGGTCAGGTGATTCTGTAGGCTGTGTTTTGTGGTGTTCTCGATCCCTCTGGCTCCTCCAATCCTTACACCCCATCCTTTATGGGGCTCCCCTAGGCTTCATCTAATGTCTGGCTGTGGGACTCCACATCTGTTCCCATCAGGCTCAGCACACCCTGCAAGCATGTTCAATTGTAGATTGGAGGGTTTGTGGCTAGCTTGGTGTCCCAATCCCTCACTTGAGACCTTGCTTAGTCATAAGGATGACTGGTTCAGGCTCTGTGTCCCCCATCACTAGGAGTCTTTGCTAGTGTCATCCTCATAGAGTCTGTGGAGTTTCCATTGAACTGGATTTTTACCTCACTCCTGAAATGGTCCCCATTTCTAGTCATCTCTCCCACTATTCTCCCCTCCTAACCCCCACCTAATCCCTCCTGTTCCCATCCTGACCCGCCCCCAGTCCACCCTTGAAATTTCTTTTCTCTAGCTCCTTCCCAGGTACATCCTTGGGTTCCTCCTTAACCCCTCCCTATTACTTATTCTCTCTGGGTCTGCAGATTGTAGAATGATTATCTTTTTCTTCACAGCTACTGTCTGCTTAGAAGTGTGTATATGCCATGTTTGTCTTCCTGCCACTGAATCACCTCAGGGCGATTTTTTTTTTCTAGTTCCGTCCAGCTGAGTGATGCTCCATTATGTAAATGTACCACATTTTTTCTACTCCAGTTGAGGCACATCTAGGTTGTTTCCAGTTTCTAGCTTTTATGAATTCAGCCTTTATGAACACACATGAGCAAGTGTGCTTGTGGTAGGATGGGGCACCTTTTGAATATATGCCCAAGAGTGGTATAGCTGGCTCTTGAGGTATATTGATTGCCAATTTTCTAAGGAAGGGCTATATTGATTTCTATAGTGGCTATATGAGTTTTTAGTCCACCAACAATGGAGGAGTGTTCTCCTTTCTCCACATCCTCACAAGCCTGAGCTTGTGTTTTTTATCTTAGCCATTCTGACAGGTGTAGTAAGATGGAATCTCAAAATAGTTTTGATTTGCATTTCCCTGATGGTTAAGGATGGTAGACATTTCTTTAAGTGTTTTTCAGCCATTTGAGATTACTCTGTTGAGAACTCTCTGTTTAGCTCTGTATCACATTTTTAAATTGGCTTATTTGCTTTGTTGATGTTTAATTTTTTGAGTTCTTTATGTATTTAGGATGTTAGCCCTATGTCAGGTGTGGGGTTGGTGAAGATCTCTTCCCATACTCTAGGCTGCTGTTTGTTTGCCTTAAAGAAGCTTTTCAGTTTCATGAGGTCCTGATTTATTAATTGTTGATTTTATTGCCTGTGCTACTTGATGTTTTGTTGAGAAAATTGTCTCCTGTGCTAGTGTGTTCAAAGCTATTCTCCACTGTCTCTTCTTATGTCTTAAATGCTTGTAACACCCAACAGATTACCTTGCATATTGCTACGCTCTTGGAGTTTAAAGCCAGCCTGCCAGCCTGTCTACATACATTCCTAGAATAGTCAGAGCTGCAATAGAGACACCCTGTCAAAAATAGAATTAAGTACAAAAAGAAAGAGCTAGAACTTATTAATTTATAGAGTATGAAAACCTCTAAAAATTTTAAATTGGATAATTATGTTCAACTAGGTTATTTGAAATAAGAATTTTAATAAGCAAAGAAGGCTTTTATTTGTTTTCTAAAGAGCCAAATTTTTATTTATTATCTTACATTTGAAGTGTTCTTGGATAAGTAGTCCAACCTGTAGGTTTTGTTTTGCTTTTGTTTTGCCATAATCCTCAGCCACTACTTTATGGAATTTTTCCCCTATTGAGTTTTTGCAGAGGCCTGTTCATTCTCTTAGTTTCTTGTCATCAACTTTAGTAGTTTCTTGTCATCAACTTTAGTAAGATTGATTTAGTGTATACCATAAAGGGCCACCATTAACTCGGCACATAGGCTCATTCAGTTGACTGCAATTCCACAAAGATGGACATTGTACTTGCTTAAGGCTTTGGCAATTCTGTGGATCCCATCTGTTAAGCCATTTCAGTCTTAGAAGAGGTGATCTTCAGCACCTCCTGTAGTAGTACTAGTACTGTTATACCTCCAGCAGCAGTGCCTTCTGTGGGCACAGCAGCAGGTTAGAGGTGAGAGCAAACCTGGATCAACCAAAGCATCAACACAACTCAGTGGCAGCATAGAAAGAGCTAATGTTGTTGTTATTTTTTAACCACCAACAAATTAGCTATATATACTTAAAAAGTGTAGGCATAGAAATTTAGCCTGTTTTACTTTTTCTATGAAATGAGTGGTAATGTGACAGCCATTTTCTCTTTTCTTTTCCCTTAGCGATTCTGGAGGAATTACCTAAATCAGAAGCAAGTGAGAAATGCAGCTGTGGAGAAAGATGCTTTCATAATGGCTAGTGCAGCTTCCCTTCTTCAAGCGTCCTGGCGTGCTCACTTAGAGAGGCAGCGGTACTTGGAGTTACGAGCTGCAGCTGTCATTATCCAGCAGAGATGGAGGGAACTCTATAGGTGTAGACACAGGGCTGCTACCTGTATACAGTCAAGATGGAGGGGCTATAGACAAAGGAAGACATACACAGAACAGAGGAATAAAATTATCCTGTTACAGTCAGTGTATAGAGGATTCAGAGCACGGCAAAGGTAATACTTTAATGAAGCAGTTGTTCCTTCTGTCTTCATAGTCCCTTTGTTTAAACCTCTACTTTAATACTTTTATTATAATATTTTTACCGCCGGGCAGTGGTGGCACACACCTTTAATCCCAGCACTTGGGAGGCAGAGGCAGGTGGATTTCTGAGTTTGAGGCCAGCCTAGTCTACAGAGTGAGTTCCAGGACAGCCAGGACTACATAGAGAAACCCTGTCTCGAAAAACCAAAAAAAAAAAAAAAAGATAATAATGTTTTTAACACTAGACTGTGATAAAACTCTACCAGTTCTAACCTGTATTGTCTGGGCTTTAGCAAAAGTTAAATAAATTAAACTGAATTGAATTAAATCAGGCTGGAAACCTCCATGACCTGTGGTCATAACTGCTAAGAATAAACTTGTACATTTGGTTTAATCTTATAAATTTGGAAATAGTCAACATTTTTTCACCGTAAGAAATTCATTGATCTCTATTGTACTATATTAAAATAATGATATTAACGAGTTTTTAAATACAGTTAACATTTTGTCTAGGCTATCCAGTTAGGAATTTTTCATGTAAAGAAGAGGATAATTTGAACAAGTACAATCACGTTAGTTTTAGAAACATATTCATGAGTACAGTAGTATATACTAGTCCTAGCTAAATAATGGGCAGAGGCAGGAAGATGACTTGAGTCTGAAGTTTAATGCCAACTTTGAACATAGTTAAGGATAGCAAGGCTCCACCTCCAAAAAGTATTTCTATTAAAAAAAATAGTAAATTTAATTGTCTTTGTTGGTAACCAAGAGTTATCTGTAACCCACTTTGTCTATTTCTATATAGATATAAAGCTTTAAAAGAGGAAAGGCCAACAGAAACAAAACTAGAGCATGGACTGGTACATATCAAGGCATGTGGACCTCTTGAAATCCAGGGTTCAGACCCTTCTGAGTGGGAGGATCGTTCCTTTGTCAACAGAGTGAAAGCCATAGAAGAAGGCAAATCTGTGATAGAGAGTAATCGAATCAGCCGTGAGAGTTCAGTGGACTTCTCAAAGGAGTCTCCAGACAAGCAGCAGGAGAGAGGCAGAAGCCAGAGTGGTGCAGACTTAGAGGGAGACGTGATTGTAAGACAGAGGCCCAAGTCCTTGGAGGATCTACATCAGAAAAAAGTAGGTCGGGCTAAAAGAGAAAGTCGGAGAATGAGAGAATTAGAACAAGCTATCTTTAGCTTAGAATTGCTGAAAGTCCGTTCTCTTGGTGGCATGTCGCCTTCAGAGGAACGCAGATGGTCTACAGAGCTGATGTCTGAAGGCCTTCAGTCTCCACAGGGCACACCGGACAGTGAGAGCTCTCAAGGGAGCTTAGAGCTTTTGACCTGCGATGAGAACCAAAAGAGCAAACCAGAGTCCCTCATTCTAGAGGAGGGAGAACTGAAAATCTCACCGCCCAATACACTTACCAGTCCAAAATCACAAGACCATGCCCTCGGTGCCTCAGATGAGACAAGCTCTGCATTAGCTGGAAAAGGAGCGTCCGAGCATTTGAAGAATGAGACTGCAAAGGGAAAGCTTGTCTATAGTTCTGAACCTATTACTTGTAAACCCCAGCTGAGGGACTCTTTTGTTTCAAGCAGTCTGCCTACGTTTTTTTATATTCCTTATCAAGAGCCTCTGAAAACAAGTTCCCAACTTGACACAAGTATCCAAAGAAACAAACTACCAGAAAGAGAAGCCACTTTGAAGACAGCTCTTACTCTGGATATTAACAGAGAAGGCAGGAAGTGTCAATTTTCAGGAGATCAGGTGACTCCTTTGTATACGGATTCTTCATGTACCGTGCTTAAGAAGTTAGAAAAGCTGAATATTGAAAAAGAGAAAAGGCAAAAGCAGTTACAGCAACAGAATGAAAAAGAAATGATGGAACAGATTCGTCAGCAGACAGATATTTTAGAGAAGGAACGCAAGGCCTTCAAGACAATTGAACAGTCACGAACTGAGGCTTCTGTCTTAGCACCATCCTTTTATCAGCCAAGACAGAGAGTAGAGAGGCCATGTTCTCTGCATATCCAGAATACTCCAGGTAAAGGAGAAGCTGGTGTACTAGCTTCCCCATCAGCAGTCACTAGAAGAGACGCAGCTCTTGCCACAAAAGACAGCCCCTCCATTCATGTACCCCCAAAAGACCGACCTGTCACCCTGTTCTTTGAAAGAAAAGGAAGCCCATGCCAATCTAGAGCTGTCAAGGAATCATCGAAGACAGAAAGAATGAGCGCCCAACGTGATGCTGCCTCTAAACTCTCCAGTAACCGCAGTACGGAAAGAGAACACTTGGAGTCAGCTCACTCTCCCAGCCACAGATCTGATGACCCTTCCAGAGAGGGAACTTCCAGAGCCATTTTCTTCACACCAAAAGACAATAGGACTGCTCCCCTGTAAGTGAAATTGGTATTTTATATGTTAAGTGAGGAGTTTGTTACAGTTGTTTATTGAAGTGCTTTGTGCTCCGCTCTGTGTACATGAATGCTGCTAATCTGATTTTTCTCCCTCTGTGTAAAGTGTAAATAATTACATCCTGGGAATCTTTGGATGTAGATAACACATTTTTTTTTTTTTGGTATTCTTCCTTATTAATTGAAAAATCATTTGTAAAGGACAATGTTGTGCTTATAAGTGTACCAGGCATTCAGCATGTTCTGGGCGATATAGAGCTATGAAATGCAGTGATCCAGAGTGGTTACTGTGAGAACTTAGCATGTTTTCTCACAGCTCTTGGCCTATTTATAGTCTTCATTAATGTCTTTGTTTTTTTGTGTGTGATAGTCACATACAAAGCTTAGTATCATAAATTTTAGTGTATGGAATAGTGGTAGTTGTTACTTTAATAGTGAAGTTGTTATACAACATGTCTAAACAGCTCTACTTTCTTTTCTCCTCAGTTGCTGGCAACTACCTTCTACTTTATGGTTTTGTTTCTGTATTTTTGAGATGGGGTCTTGCCATGTAGCCTTTGCTGGTCTGGAACTTTCTAGTAGTTCAGGCTAATCTTGAACTCATAGAGATCTGCCTGTCTCTGTCAACTAAAGGCATGTGCCACCATGCCCAAGTCTGTCTTATGTTTTCAAGAGTCGAGCTGCTTTATGCGTTTGTTGTAAGTGGGGAGTCTTTAGTTTTTATAATTAACCACAGTAGCATTTTAACTCATAGAGGTCAGGAGAAGCTGTTTTCTGGTTTAGGTTGTTTGTTTTAAATTCTGTGTTTGAGATCAAACCTGGGACATCCCGCATGTTTATCAAGCCACAGGCTTACCCAGCTGAGTCACCTCCCCATCCAAGATAACCTCTTAAAACTCCTAGACTTCAATTAACTTATCAACTAGTGTTGTATGTTATTGTCTATTTTGAACTAGTCTGATGCTAGTAGTTAAGTCATGACTCCTTAGGAGTTTGAAGTCTAAGGATTAATTTGAAAACTCATAATACTAAATTAAAGTAATTGGTGCCATGAAAATCTAGGTACTGTTCAATTTTCATCAGATTGTGACAGTCTGTTTCTTTATAGAAATTTAATGGTAAAACAGTCTTGGCACTGATATTTTTAGACAAAATTAAACTTTTACAACCCAATACTATAGTATCTGTATTGTTTGGAGCACACTTCATTTTGCTTAATAACAATTCTTATTCTGCCATTGTTAGTATTAGCCTCAAGTTTTAAAGGTAAGATAGTGGTTAGAAACTTAGAAGAGTTCAGAATGTTATTTTTTCTAACCAATAGGAACCATCGCAAGTAAAACAAGATCTTCATTATTATCATATATTTCACCATTACATGAAAAGCCTGTTTAAGACAAGAATCCTAAAGATGGAAGGGATTTAGAATTTTTTTTTTTTACTATTGAATTGGCTTTGGTTCTTTTTTAAAAAATTATTTTTCATTTTCTTTGCATTGGTGTCTTGTCTGCATGTAAGTTTATGTGAGGGTGTCAGATTGTGGAGTTACTGACAGTTGTGAGCTGCCATGTGAGTGTTGGGATTTGAACCTGGGTCTTCTGGAAGAGCAGACAGTGGTCTTAACCACTGAACCATCCCTCTAACCCCTTGACTTTGGTTCTTAACTAATCTTGCTGCTACCTTTCGTAAATGTATGCCACCATAGTGGGAGTATATTCAGTGATTATCATAGGGGCCTCTGTGAATTCATCGTGCATGTAGATTCTTGTTTATACTAGTGATTGGAGAAGAGGAATAAATTTGGGGACTTGGGAGGTGGTTCAGTGGCTAAGAACACTTGTCACACAAGCATGAAGACCTGAGTTTGGATCTCCAGCACTCACATTAAAGCTGAGTGTGGCTGCATACATCTGTAACTCTAGTTCTGTGGCCAGTGGAGACAGGAACACTGCTGGAGTTGTCCAGCCAGTTATCCTAGCCAAAAAAAGAAAAGGAAAGAAAAAGAAAAGAAAAGAAAAGAAAAGGACACTCCGGGTTCAGTAAAACAGGCAGATAATAACATAGCAGGTACCCAGTGTTGTCTTCTGGCTTCCGCAGGACAATACACAGATGTGTGTAACTGCCTACTTACATGTATGTGAGCATGGCTGCATACACACATATATACACATAATATGAGAATAAATATAAAAATCAGAATTTGAGATTGACGAAGATTTGTAATTATTTATAGAATTTGCTAGAGTTCTTTGACTTGTCCTGTCCTGTTAAATTATAATTCATAGCAGGGTGTCCAATCCCAACACTCAGTAGGCAGAGGCAGGCAGCTCTGAACCCAAGGCTAGAACTACTTAGTGAGTTCTGGGAGAGCCAGGACTACATAGAAGGACACTGTCTCAATAGCCAAAAACAAACAAAATTATAATTCATGCTATATTTTAGGAAAATCTACTAGGAATTGAAACGCAATCCTGTTTATTTTATTTAAAGTGTACACGGTGGAAATCCTCAAGTCCACAAACAAGATGAACCATCGTGGAAACCTAAGTCAGCAGGGCCGGGGCAACAAGAGGTAAGTATTTGATCTTACTTATCTTTTAATTAGAATAGGTGCACATTATTTTGGAATTTACTAGTTTTATAGGTAGAACACCATATTGACCCATTTATTTATTTATTTATTTATTTACAAGCTATAGGCTTAGCCTTTTATAATTAGGAAGTTGTATACTAGTCAAGAATGGTACCTTAGAAATATGAATTATATTTATACAGACAAGACAGAAGTTGCTAAGGCAAAAAAAGAACAGTTTGTTGAGGTGATCTTGGTGTGACCTGCGGCACTGAAGGGTGACTTAGTTCACTGTGGAGAAGAATAGTGCAGACTTAACTTGGATCCTTACCTGTTGTTCACAGTAATGAGTATGGATTCTCTTTGCTCCTCCCTGTTACTTGTGCTAACAGACAGGACATAGGGCATGGTGGGGTGGAGGGAAGTTTCCAGACATTCATGAGCCCTCTTTCATTGGCATCTTCTCCCAAATTACAAAAACAAAACATTGTTGTGTTATTTGTTTTATCATTTGGTCAAGCAGGTTGCCAGACCGGCCCATAAAAAGAAAGCTCGAATGGCGCGGACGCGCTCCGATTTCTTGACTAGAGGTACTTTTGCCGATGGGGAGGGGGATACAGAGGAAGATGATTACGATGACATTATTGAGCCCCTTCTCTCCCTTGACCAAGCTTCTCACTCTGAGCTAGGGCCTGTATCCAGCCTGGGTCAGGCCTCTCACAGTGACTCCGAAATGGTAATTTTTACAGCAATAAGAAAAAATAGCAAGCAGATCTGCTCGGAGTAGTCTTTGCTAATCTAAAGCTAACCTTCACAGCTTTTTTTTCCACATAATGGCTTGTACATGAGAAACCTCAGTGAACACAGCAACAAAAGCTAAGTCTAATTTAATAGAACTCAAATAAGGGGCACTTTAATTGTATATATCAAATGATAAATTAGGTAAAATTAAGATTATTTAAATTAGCACAGATTTTGCCTTTAAAGGTCTAGAGTAGGAATCACAAGTTTTTTAATTTTTATTTTTGTAAAGGGCCAGATAATAAATATTTTAGATTTTGTAGATCATGGTTTTAGTTGCTCGAAGCTGCTAAATCTTGACCACTACTGTGTGAAAGCAATCACAAACAATAAGATGAAAATGGAGAAGGCATTTTAATACATATGCAGAACGAGGTAATGGACTTTATTTGATTTATACTGGTTAGGGTTTACTGATCTAGTACATAGAATAAGATACCTGTTAAATAAATTTAGACTTTAACAGAAATACTATTTATTCATTTAAAAACTAGGGGTAGGGGAAGCTTTAAAGTTCCTACCTTTTCTTTTCTGTTAAGTAATAGAAAAGAAACATGAGTTTTGTATAATGTAAGTGGGCACGGTGGAACACAATATCTCAAGTTCAAGGCTAGCTTGAACTATACAGTGTGAGACCATGTTTCCCAAAGACTTAAGATGGATATGATCACACATTTAGAAGGCTGGGGCAGGATTTCCAAATTTTGGTACCAACATGAGCTATATAGTTGAAGGCCAGGCTAGACTAGAAAGCAAAGCCCTCTCTTAACAACAGTAATGAAAATAAGCATGTACATGCAAGCCTCTGGCCTGATCTCTAGCAAAGTGCAGACACATATAATTTAATGAGCAAAGTGTGTTATCCTGGACCAACCCAACCAGATAGGTTATGTATAGCATGTATTTGTTTTAAACAGAAATCAAAACATTTTAATTGAGTTTAAATAAACCTGTACTCATTTTGGCTAAGCGTACAACTTTATTATCATCTGAACCAAAATTATGATACCATATTACATTTACAGTTATCTTAGGGTGAAGAGTTTAATTCTTGGGGCCGAGATAGTTGCTTAGGAGGTAAAGTATTTGCTGTTCAAGGTCCTGAATTTAGACTCCTAGTACCCATTTAAAAAGCCAACTATGCTGGTATGAGCCCTTAATCTCAGACCTTAGAGGTTAAGATAGAAGAAACCCAAGGGTCCTGTGGCTAAGTCAGCTTTACCAAATGGCCAAGCTCCAGATTCATAGACTCTGTCCTCCCCCCCCCCAAAAAAAACAAACAAACTAGATAGCCAGGCATTGTGACATGTGCCTTTAATCCTAGCACTTGGCATTTTAGTGATAGAGGCCACCTTGGTCTACATATTGTCAGGCCAGCCTATCCAGGTTACATAGTGAGAAAAAGTAGAGTGATAGAAGAAGACACACAGATGCACTTAACACATGCCCGTGTGTGCGTGCAAACACATACACACATACACACACACGCACGCATATTTTATTCTATGAGTGTTCTAGGAAATGACCGTATAGAGATCCTAATAAACTACGTCTAATAGGAACTAAAACAATTGTGGTTGATGAAAGTTTTTATTTTCCTATATACATTGGCTCTCCAGTCACTAATGTCTGTTTACTGTGGAGGATTCTTATGATGATCTTTGAGTCATTGCATATTTGAAGTTTAAACGGTTATGTTTGAATTATATTTAGACCCAGTTAGAATTTTTCTAAATTTCTCAAATATTCTGATTGTATTCATCTCTTATAAAAGGCTAGACACAATTTTTAAGTAGTAATGTTGATATTTTGTGGAGGACAAAAAAAAAATGCAGGATGTGCTCCCTGATCAATCAAAATGAGCTATAGGCCTGAAAATGCAGAAATTCGAAATGATCTGTACTCTTCTGTTAATGTAAGTAGAGCTCAGACCTCTTGATGGTAGGATTAAGTGACTGTTATGAAGGTGCCCTGTATTTGAATTATAATAGCATATATATATTACACACACACATATATATACACATACATATATATATATAATAGTTAAAATTTTATATAGAGCAAGCAAATCTTACTGAAAGTCTGTACAGATTTATTGTTCATGGAAGAACTTAGCACTTTATAACTGCTGCTTTGTTCCTGAGAGTTTCTTTTGTAACAATCCTTAGTCCTTTCCATGGTAGAGTACTATTCACACTGGGAACTCTTGCGGGGATCAACCAGGAAGTTAGGCCTTCTGCTTGGAGCTTTTAGCTCTTTTTGGTGTTGTAGCCTCTGTTCACCTGCTTGACAGTCACTGCATGCCCGTAGTTGTAGAGCACCTTCCTGCACAGTGTGTCAGTCACCTCTAGCTTTCTTACTCTCCTGATTAGCCTGTTTAGGAACAGGTGGTGGTGCTGGTTTCTGGTGGATGCTTGCATGAGGAAGCTTTGCTTTGTAGAATAAGCTACTAGATACTTACTGGAGTGGGGGTGTAGAGGGAAGGGAAGGAATCGTTTTAAAATGTGTTTCTCTGATGATTCTGAAAATGTGTCATATATTCTAACTCTGATACTGTGATGATGAATCTTACTGTTTATAAGGTGAATTTATTGCATTATCAAAATGCATGTTTTTCAAAAGTGGATTTGAGTTTATTGGGTACATGAATTTCTAAAAAATGATTTTTTTTCCCTAGGCAAAATGGTGTTATCACCAATATTTGCTAACAAGGGAGCCTGGTGTTAGTCCTTAGCAGAAATAGCCATCTGCTCTTTCTAGTTTACAGTCATTGATCTTACAGGATTAAAAACAGTTGCAAATCAGTCACCTAAAGGGAATTTGAAATGAACACTTCATCTGAAGTTGGCTAATTAATAACCGTTGATGTTGTAGGAGAGGGCAGGCAAGAGTTATAGTTTCTCACTTCTGTGATTGTATGCTTTTGTGAAAGCTCCTATTTCAGACTGCAGTTTAAACACTAGTGTGTGCTGGTCTCCTTGGATTCTGTGTCTACCAGAGTGATACTTACCCAAGAAGAAGAAAAAGCATATTCTGCTAAGCTACACTTTAAAGTTATCTGTGTTTAGATTTCTATAACAAAATTGCCTGAAGTAACAACATAAATGATAGGCCTAGTCCCATGGCTCTGTTGCTTTGGTTCTGTGAGGAAGCAGTATAACCTATGGGGTGACCAAAAAGAGAAAGGCATGGTCCAGTAACCTAATTCTTCCCACTAGTCATTGTCTATCTCATCTTTTCCAAAGAGGAATAATTTTTATTTACTATGTTTATTTTTCCATTTTCTACTTGATTGACTTCTGCTTTTATCTTTATGTCTATAATCTCTATGTCTGTAATTGGTATGTATGATCAGTTTTTGTGAATGTTCCACAAGTATTTGATAAAAGTACTCTGTTCATAGCATAAAGTTTCAAAACACACCCATAATCTCACCTTCTTCCTTATGCTGTCCTTGATTTTTCATTGTGTTTTGTATATTGATCTGTCTCCGGCTGAGAATGGTAAGGTAAATCCTCTGTTCCTTCTTATGCGGCTTTTAATATTTAAAGAAGTGCTCTTGTCACATTTAATGCTCTTTATTTTTGGTTCTTGTTAATACTATCTCCGATTCTCTTTCCTTACCACTTCCTTTGCTTAGCCCTTTATTTTATCTTTGCTTATATGTTTTCTATAACGTAGAGTCCTACTTCAAATAAAATGGAAAGTATTTTCCTTCCATGGGTGGATCAGATCTTCATTGATCTGATAGGCCATTTATAATTCTGTTTTCACTTTTTAAAGGACTGTATCATCATACCTAACTTAGTTTTTCATAAGTAATACTTGATTAATTTGCATCCATGACACAACTATCAGTCATTCTGCTCTCATCTTCTTTATATTTGTTTTAGGAGCTTTTCTTCTTTGTCAGAACATATAATTTAATATTTTTTGTTCTAAGTCCAAACTTTGTGTTCACCTTTGATCTACTAAATTTATTTGCTTAGATGAAGCTCTTCTAGCAGTCAGTAGTTACCCAGGAAAGACTTAAAATGCTCAGTTATTTTAAGTCATAACTCAGTTATGGAAATCTAGAACACCGCTAACTTACCTGACTTTTTTTCTTTAGCCTTGACATTTTAGGAACCATCTTGATTACAGTAAATCCATGATTTAGGGGCTGGAGAAATGGCTCAGTGGCTAAGAGCACCAGCTGCTCTTGTACCTGTGTGGCAGTTCACAACCATCCAGGGGATCCTACAAGCATGCACACTGTCATGCATACAAGCAAAACTTTCATATACATAAAGTAAAATAAATATTTAATAAAAAAATCTATGATTTACAGTTTAAGTCAGTGGTTCACCATTGCTATCTCTACATTTTTTGAAAATGCTGTTTTATAGATATCTTTATGTAGTATTGTCTTTTGCCATTCTAATTTTCTGTTATTTGTGATTTATTTTATATTTTAGTTTGGAGCATTCAGACTTTTGTTTCAGGTGTAGGATAGAATTAAGTTAGTTGATCATTTTAGATTAGTGATCCATTATACCTACTAGACTCTTTCTGTCTGTAACTTCTTGTCTTATTTCTGCCTTTGGAGAAGTTACCTTTATATTTACTATTATCTTGTGTCTCTTGTTTAGGAACTTCAGGTATTAGGAATAGTGATTTGTGTTTATTTGTCTTTGGTAACCTGTAAGTTATTTTCAAGTTAATTTGACTTTATTGATTACATTTGTTTTTTGATAGCTGATACATGTTTATTCTCAGTCCCCACCTGATCTCCTTCCTCCCTCTCCCACTGTTCCTACCTTCTTCCTTATAGGCTCCTTTCCTACATTTACACTGGTTTTTGTTTTGTTTTGTGCCCACTGATTTTAGCAAACCATGTAGTCTCAAGTTTGGAACTCCTTTGTACACTACTGAAGACAATGACTGTTCGTTTCTTAGAACCTATCAGTTGCTAGTGCTTCATCATGGAGGGATTGAGCTCCACTAGCCCCTCCCATTTAAGATTGGTGGTTGACAGGCTCAGTGGAGGCAACTCCTGCTCCCGTAAGATCATGTTTGCAGTTGTGGCATGCTTTGAAAACAGCGTTTTATAGCCCTCCCCTCCTTAGGCTGTGCTGTTCCTTTTAGATGTCCCACGAGCCGTAGATGGAATGGTATAGATGGCCTGTTCAGGGTTGGGCAGTCAACTATCACTTATTCTAAGCCTCTGGAGTGGCAAGGGGACTCTTTAATCACAGCTGTTCACTGCAAGGAGAAGCTTCTCTGGTTAAGAATGAGAATAGCATTTGTCTGTGGAAATAAACATAAATATTGAGAGTACAGTTGAGTGCCTTGTCACTTCAGCTGAAAGACAATAATGAGGTCTTTACTCACCTGTGACCTCAGCTTTTTTTTTTTTTTTTTTTTTTTTTTGAGACAGGTTTTTATTATAGAGATAGGGCTATATTGTAACTTCTTAGATCAGGTTGGCCTTAAACTCACAGAGATCCTCTTGCCTCTACCTCCAAGCCATGGGTTCTTGACCAGATTTACAGTACCAGATATATACCTTATCCCATGGAGCAGCAAGCTGTCCCCTTGCTAGTTAGCTTTCATAGAAGGCACTCTGCATGCTGCAGGAGTAGATACAGCATCAATAGTCTTACCTAGCTGGGAACCCCAAGGACTTCAGTACCAGTGGCAGAAAGAATGTGCCCACAAGCATAATACCAACACACCTGTAAGAGTTATAATGACTAAGTTGTTTTGATTCTTATTTTGGTTCTGACTTGATACTCTATTTCTTTATTATTGTACCTTTGTATAGATGTTGTATGTTTTAATTTATTCATTTTGTGTATTTGGTTTGTATAGTTTAGAAGATTAAAAAATTATGAATGTCTTCTCTATCAGTGTAACAAAATACAGTTTCTTTATGGAAAGACTGTTCTCTTTTGGTGATCAGGCAATGTTTTATTCTCCTTTCCCTTATAATTTTCTGATTCTGGATTTTTGAGCTCTTTTTCTTTATAATACAGTCTCCAAAGAGAATTTTTCCCTATCCTTTTACAAATTTACTTTCTTCTAGAGGCAGTGGCTTTAGCAATTTCAGGTCTTTTCCTTTATTTTCTGAGGCAGAAGTTTCACTCTGTAGTAAAGGCTGGTCAGATTCACAGTATTTTTTCAGTGTTGGCCTTTCAAAAACTGAGATTTCAGATATGAGCTACTATACTCGGCTTCTTTTAGTGTTTCATGCTTCAGGTAGACCTTTTCTTTCTGCCATTTACTTTCAGTCAATCATAAGGCCCTGCCAGTTTTATCCTTTGTTCTTCTACAGTTTTCTTAGACTGACTTTATTTTTGGTGAAAGTTTGTGCTGGGATTATAAGAATTTTTGGGATTACGCAAGTAATTTGAAGTTTCCAAGAACTCTTATTTGCAATTGTTTACTAGGTTTTGTTATTTTTATTCTTGTTTGATAGTTTTTTAGACTGTCACTCTATCTTAAGTATTCCTTTATTTCCCTCTAAGACATTTACTTGTTTGGGAGAATATAGGGTTATTTTGTCTTGTTGAGTTTCTTCTACATTGCTAGAATTTACTAATTGCAACCTTGTGCAGTCATTTAGAATAGCATTTACCAGATATCAGAAATATAAGAGGGGACCAGGAGTAGTGCACTTCTCTAATCTTAGCACTCGGGAAGCAGAGGCAGCTGGGTCTTTGTGAGTTCCAGGCCAGCCTGGCCTATGTAGAGTGTTCCATGCCAGCAAGGGCTGCATAGTGAGACTCTAACAATAGAGCTGGAAAGATGCCTCAGTAGTTCTTGTACTGATCTTGCAGAGGACCCATGTTCAGTCCTAATACCTAGGCCACTCGCCTCTGAGTCTAACTACAGCTCCAGGAGCATTTGACACATCCCCACACACTGTGCAAACCTATGCTCACACACATGCAATTAAACAATAAAAATGAAAAAAAAAAGATTAAGAGTGTGTGTGTGTAGGCATCTTCTAGGGCCAGCACCAACAGTGGCTTGGTGGATATGGTTTCCATATAAAAGGCCTTTTTGGTAGAGCCCCACCCTCTTAAAATGGTTTGCTGCATTAGCAGCCACTGGTCCAATTGGATCAGGGTCCATCTTGATGAAATCTCTAGGCAGTTGTTTAATTTTTTAAATTTATGGCAGCATTCTGGGCCACTTCCTCTTTCTTCTTCTGCAGAGAAAGAAAACTACTTAGTTAGGCTTATAGTTCATATATCAGAAGAATTGCTTTCTCAATCCAAAGTACAGTTCTGTTCTGGTCTGATTTCCTAGCACAAAGTTCATGCTTCCCTGGATCCTCCTAGAGCCATGGAGCATAGTCAGCATACCCTTGTCGAATTACCATACAGCTGTCTTCAGGAAATTCACCAATTTGGTGGGGCCCAGCATGCAGCAGGGATCAGCCTGTCACTGCCTTCCCAGTGCTAAAATTATAAGTATGCACCACCCTACCTGGTCCTCTATCACCGCCACCGCCACCACCACCACCAGCACCTGCAGCACATATTTGTGTTCTGGGGCGAGCACTCAAGTCTTCATGCTTCCCTAAACACTTTTGGACTGAAGATCTCTAAGGCTGATACTTTTTTATTTTCTTTCTGAAATCTTGATTCACTTTCAGTATCTTGATTATCCCATAATTGGTCATTTTCAGTTTTTTTCTGTAGCTATGCCAACGTGTATATTCTGTGTTCTAAATAAGACAAACAGTAAGCCTGCTGATTAGCAATCTCAATGAATTTGAACCAAAAATAAAGCCTCCATATCTTTTTTTTCCCATGGAGGCAAAAAGTATGTGTATACACATACAGGCACACACACACACACACACGTGTGTGTACAAGCGATAAGTGCCCTTGTGAATCTAGAGTTGTATTAATATCCGACTTCCGTGTTCTTTTGAGGAACGTAGTTTATAGATAGCGAACATATTCTTTTGAACCTCATTAAGTGCTCATCTTTTATCCTTCTAAAATTGAGTGTTTTATTGCATTGTTAATGACTTGATAATTGATTTATTAACTGTTTATAAATGAGGTCATGTACAGATACTCATTTGACAGTTTGCTCTTTGAAGAATTTATATACAACTATGAAACCTGTGTTTCAAGTGTCAAGATTTCTGTAACATCAACAATTTCCTTATGTTTCTACTGAATTTCCTCCTTCACTCTATTCTCGAACTTCATAAAAATGTAATTAGACAATATGTAGAAGGAAGAATTATTTTTTAAAATGTATATTGAGGTGGTATCTCTGGAAGTTTGAGTCTTTTTACATGAATTTTTGTTTTCTATTTCCCCTTTTCATCCATGTAAAGTACAATTATAATTAGTATTTTTAATATCCTTCTAATTGAACAATTCAGTCAATGTAAATGCCTTGATTTTTTTTCTTCTTGTTAAATATAATATATTCCTACTTTTTATTTCTCTTTTAAAAATTATATAGTTTACATTGTGAATTTTTCTGGTTAGTTGAAGAATTTGTTTCCCTCCCAATTAATTTTCTGTATACTATGGTTTTCTGGTAAGATTTCCAGATCTAGAATATAACTGTTCTGGAAACAGTTTGATTCTTTTAGGCCTTTCAAAATCAGTAGACCCAAACAGCACTCAGTTGAAGGGCAATTATTTTGACTACCGAGACAAGTTCATTTGTATCCTGTTGTGGCCTGTACAGCACAGAGTTGAGTTCCTGGCTCTTGGGCACCAGCATCATAACTAACCTTACCTTTAATTATTCCACACCTATACGTGATATTGGTGTTTTCGCATACAACAGTATTGATTAGTACTGATCCCAGTATTGAAAGGGAATCTTTTCTAGATCTCGAGATTTATGCAGCTCTCTCCCCTTTCCAGTATTGTTACTTGGTCACAAGGTACTTTGATTGCCATGAGCTTTTATCTGCAGGTGTTCAGCTCAAGGAGTCTAAAACTTCATTTGGGGTTCCCCTCTCTGTGTCATAGCACAGAAACTAGTAATATCATGAGGCAGTAAGCTGGAGCAGGTATAAGCTACCTACTTCCTTTGTTTCTTACCAGTTGTCTTAAAAACTGTTTGTCTGACTGTTCTTATGCATTAGATACGGATTTCCTCTACTCTACGTTGGCCACAGACATCTGTCTATGACAGCTCTGGGTGTTTTCTGACTTTGTGCCATAGCCAAGCATATCAAAAGGCTAAAGGACACTTTAACAGATAAAATACAAGAAAATTACTTGAATAACTAGCAAGAATTCTCAGAAGTGAATTGTCCTTAGAGGAGCGTACATTAATTGCCAAATGAAATTGAAGTGCTAGTTTGATAACATAAATTGTTTATAATTTAGAACATAGGTGATGTTTTGATTTTTTTTTTCTGTGTAGCCTAGTTTTTTTTAAACTTTGACTGGATATAACAACAGTCTATAACCCATAAAAAGAATCCCTCAAGGTCCCCCCCCCAAAAAAAAAAAAGAGGTATAGAACATAATACTCACTGTTGTGTTATTTCTCAGATTTGGATTCTTTTGAGTTTGTCTTTGAATGGTTTTGACTGTTTTCCTGACTTCCTGATGAGATACTTACTGAATTGACAGGAACTGTGAACTGTTGATTACTGAGTTGTAAGTTAGTCATGCTATCATATGTTTACTTGATTTTAAGTCTTTGCCATGTGTAATTCCTACAGACGTCACAACGATTTTCTTCAGTTGATGAACAAGCAAAGCTCCATAAGGCTATGTCTCAAGGAGAGATTACAAAATTGGCAGTAAGACAGAAGTCTTCAGATTTGGACATAAGGTATGAGGTGTAAAGAAATAATAGGAGTTTTTTTTTTAATTTTTTAAAAAATTATTTAATTTTATAGGCATCAGTATTTTTCCTGAATGTGTATTTCTGTGAGAGTGTCAGATTCCCTTGGAACTGGAGTTAAAGACAGCTGTGACCTGCCATATAAGTACTGGACAACAAACCTGGGTCCTCTGGAAGAGCAGCCAGTGCTCTCAACAGCTGAGCCATCTCTCCAGCCCTGAGTAATATAATAATTTCAATGATTTTATTTAATAATTTATATATTAAGTTCTTAAATTAAGCAATTTGCTTTTAAGAAAAACAGTCTAGGTCCTTTTATTTTTCTTTGTACACTAAGTCTTGAATTATAGGCCATGGGCTTTAGCAACTAACCTTTCTGTTTATTCTCCTACAGTGCAGTTCTCTTGCTAGAGCAGTGGTGCTTCAGATATTTTGGGTTTTGTTTTCTTTGGTTTTTCCTGATCAGTCACCTTCACCTGTTTAAGCGAGCTGTCCTGGAGTGCTTCATAGGCTCAGTGCTTAGATCATCTCTCTTTGCAAGAATCTTGTCCTTATCCTGTGCACACACACTGAGCTTTCTTATGTGGATAACAATATGATTTGGAAGAGGTTTCTTAATCATTATATGATTTATAATATTGTATTGTAAAAGGCCAGAGATTAGGTAGGATGAAATTGATATTTTTCAGTTTTTGGGTTGTAATTTATGTAATATATTCTCCACTAAATTGCCCTAGGAAAATACTTTCGAGTTCAAGACAGCCAGCTACAGCTGTTATACAGAGAAACCCTGTCTCAAAACCCCCACCCCCCCCCCCCCCAAAAAAAAAAGCAAGAAAAGAAAAAGAAAATACTTTCAGAAGACAATTTTGTTTTCTTTAAGTTGCTTGTGGGTGAGCTCGGGTGAAGCTGCAGCAGTTATGAGTGTTTGCTGGAAGGGCCTAAACTAAGTACCCCATAAAAAAGTATGAGGTTGAAGAGACGCTCTGCAGTTACCTGTGTTCAGTTCCCAGCACCCATAAGATGGCTCACAATCTTTTTTTTTTTTTACTTTTAATTTGAGACTTCAGTGCCCTATTCTGGTCTCCAAGGACACTAGGCATTCTGGTAGTGCATATACATAGGCTCTTAATACTCCTGACACTGTGGAGGGAACAGACATTGGAGCAGCACCGGGGCTGGCTAGTCACTAGCCTACCTCTAGGTTCAAGGAACTAGAGAGTGGTAGAGCAGGTAAAATCCTCCTTTGGCCTCTAGTACACATAGGGATGTTTATTGGTATGCATAGGCGTGTATATACATCTAAACACACAGAGAGTTCAGGTCATTTTTATTTTCAAATAAATACCTTTTAAAAATTATATAAGCATTTGGGCCCTTAATGAAGATTTCAAGGCATGTTAAAAAATATTTTTTCTTCTTCAATTGTAGACCACTTTTTATAGACTAAAAGGGATTTACAAGGGACTTAAATCTAGAAAAAATTATACCACAAGTCAGAATTGAAAAAGAAGATATGTACATAATAATATAATAGACTAAAGGACATATAATTGGAGACAGTTAAATATATAAATTTAATTTCTACTTTATTTGCCCAAATGACCAACCCCATAAATGATGAAACAAAATAGACAAAATCAAAATGTGAATGTCTTAACAGATGAGAAAAGTCTGCATACTAACCAAGTAGGTAAAACTGAGAAATAAACATGGAGCCAACTGGCCCTCTCTATTCTTAGCAGAAAATAATAAACGTATTTTCAGGAAAAGATAAAAATATAAGATCTCTAGACTTAACTTTATCCAATCTCCCCCCCCCCCCAAAAACAGAAGAGGGGAGGTCTGTGTAGCCCTGGCTGTCTTGGAACTTGCTGTGTAGACCAGGCTAACTTCAAATTCACCTCCCTCTGCTTTCCAAGCACTGAGGTTAAAGACGTGCACTACCACTGCCTGGCAAGTTTGCTAATATTTTTAAGATGTGGACCACATTTTTAAATTAATAATTTTTTACTTATCCACTTTGCATCCTGTCACTCTCCTCCTCCTGGTCACCTTCTCCCACAATCCTTCCCCCATCCTCCCTTCCCTTCTCCTCTGAGCAGGGCCCCCACTTGGTTATCCCCTCACCCTGGCACTTCAAGTCTCTGTGAGGCTAGGTACTTCCTCTCTCACTGAGGCCAGACAAGGCAGCCCAGCTAGAAGAATGTATCTCATATACAGGCAGCAGCTTTTGGGATAGCTCCCACTCCCGATGTATGGGACTTTTTTTTTTTAAATATGTGTGTGTGTAGTGTAAATTCATGAGTGTACTGGTATATGTGTGGTTGAGTGCAGGTGCATGTAGTATGTGGAGGTCAAAGGTCAACCTCATTCAGGTGTTGACCACTGTTTCGTTTTGTGAGACAGGTCTCTTACTGAGTTCTTGGGCTTTGTGGTTTGGCTAGGTTGACTAGTAGTAGCTAGCTCCAGGAATCTCTATAAGCCTGTCATACCATAACCATAAGCTCTGGGAACTAAACTCATGTTTTTCATGTTTGTGTAGCAAACATTTTACCTATTAACCTACCCCCAGTATTTACTTATTTTTTAAATGAATTTTACACATTAAGTGCTTACACCTCTCGGCTTTTTTCCTTTGCTCAGTTAATACATTTTTTTAATGCCCTTTGAAAAAATGGTTCAAAGAAACTTTGGGACGTTGTTCATCTATTGAGGAAAGATTAGAAGACATGTCCTTGCAAAATTGCCCAGCCAGGTAACCCTGTAAGGAAGACTGGAGTTTACAGCCAGGTAACCCTGTAAGGAAGACTGGAGTTTTCAAGCTCTGCTACTGCACACTAGAGCAACACTTTAAACCCAAAGAAATGATAATGAGATATCAATGATCACCATATATTTTGAGAGAACAGTATATTGAAGGAGCCAAAATTAACAGATAAAAATGTAATATCAAGGAAATACACAAGATAGAAAACGTTAAAACCAGAAAATATGATGAAAATTCTGCGTAGTGACTATAACTGACACCAAAGTTTATGAAAAAGAAACATCCATAATAAAAATAATTTTGGAAAATTAAAAATAATGGTGTTGAGGGTAACAGTTTATCGGATAAAATGCTTCCTAAGCAACATGAGGACCTGAGTTCAGATCTCTGTCACTCACAAAAAATTCCAGGTGTGAAGTTATGCCTGTAACTCCAGTGGTTGAGGCAAGAGATAGCTAGGTCCCTGGAGCTTACTGCCTAGCCAGGTAAGTGACATTGGTATACTTCAAGGTCAGTGCGAGACTTCATTTCAGGAAGTTGGAGATTAATTGAGGAAATCACTTGACAATACACGCACACTCACGCGCGCACACACACACCAATTCTAGTAATAATAATGAAGTAATAAGGAGGGAGGAAGAAAAGTGACTATATCTCAGAAAGTTGTACAATAAAGTAGAAGGATGAGAGAAGGAAATTTTATAACCAATTTAAAAGGTGAGTTACTCAATATAAAGAAAAGGTATAGAAGAGCCAACTACTACTAAAACAATTCAGCCTGGGTGTGGAGACACATACCTGTAATCCTAACACTCAGAAGGTGGAGGAAAAAGAGGATTGAAAGTTGGAGGTCACCCTGGACAACACAGTAAGACTCTGCCTCCAAAACAACACAACCAGATGTTACACAGTTGAAGCCCCACCAAGGACTGAACATCATATTGGACACAAATAGACTTGTACTTTATAACAACGAAAGTAGGTCTTCTTCATCTTGCTTTCCTCTCTCTTTCTCTCATATATTACATCCCTACTGCAGTTTCCCCTCCTTCCTCTTCTCCTGGATTCTCCCTACCCCTCTTCCAATTCCTATCTACTCTTCCGTTTCCCTTCAGAAAAGGGCCGGCTTCCCAAGGATATCAATCAAACATGGCATATCAAGTTGTAATAAGGCTAGGCACCTCCCTCATATTAGGCCTGGATGAGGTGATCCAGTGGGAGGAAAAGAGTCCCCAAAGCAGGCAAAAATGTCAGAGACAGCCCCTGCTCCTACTGTTAGGAGTCCCATAAGGAGATTAGGCTACTCAACTGTAGATGACCTAGGTCAGACCCAGGCAGGCTCCCTTATTGTCAGTTCAGTCTCTGTGAGCCCATATGAGCTCAGGTTAGTAGATTCTCTGGGTTTTCTTGTGATATCCTTGATCCCTCTGGCTCCTACAAATCCTTCCTTCCTCTTTTCTGCAAGATTCCCAGGGCTCTGTATAATATTTGGCTGTGAGTCTCTGCATCTGTTCTAATCTGTTGATGGATGAAGCCTTTCTGATGACAATTGGGCTAGGCACCAATCTATGAATATAGCATATTATCATTAGGCATCATTTCATTGACACTTTTTTTGGTGCCAGCTGTGTTTCATTCTCTCCTAGGTCTCTGTTTCTGTATAGCCTCTGGTTCCTGGCCCTCCAGGCAGTGTCGAGGTGTACTTCCTCTCTTGGTTTGGGTTTCAATCTAGATGAGTTGCTGGTTAGCCACTCCAGTTTCTGTACCACAAAACATTTTGTAGGCAGGACAAATTGTAGGTTGAGTTTTGAGGCTGTGTTGGTGTCCAAATTCTTATACTGGAAGTCTTTCCTGGTCACAGAAGATTGCCAGTTCAGGCTCCATAGCTCCCCCACCTACCCCCTTTTTAAGTCTTAGCTAGCGTCATCCTCATAGATTCCTGGGAGTTTTTATTGGATTAAGTTTCTTCCTTGCCGCTGAAATCCTCCCCAATTCCAGTTGTCTTTCCAGTACTCCTTCCCTCTTCTCCACGTCTTCTCCACATCTGATCCCTCCTGTTACTATCCTCACTGGCCTGCAGTCTACCCAAGATATCTATTCTGTTTCTCCTTCTCAGGAAGAGTCTTGCTGCACTCACCCCCCGCCTCCGCCTCCAGCCCTCCTTGTTATTTAACTCTCTGAGTCTGTGAATTATAGCATGATTATCCTTACTTTACTGCTAATAAACTGTCCACTTAGTGAGTACACACCATGTTTGTCTTTTTGGGTGTGGGTTACCTCACTCAGGATGATTTTTTTTTTTCTAGTTCCATCCATTTGCTTGCAAATTTCATGATGCTATTTTTTTTAACAGCTGAGTAATACTCCATTGTGTAAATTATCACATTTCCTTAACCATTCTTCTGTTGAAAGACTTCTAGGTTGCTATTATGAATTAAGTTGCTATGAACATAGTCGAGCAAGTGTTTTTGTGGTAGGATTGAGTGTCCTTTGGGTATATGCCCAGAAGTGGTATAGCTGGATCTTGAGGTAGACCCATTGCCAATTTTCCGAGAAAACATCATATTGGTTTCCAAAGTGGCTGTACAAGTTTTCAGTCTCACCAGCAATGGGAGACCTTCAAAAAAATCATTAATTTTTACTTCAAAAATTTGTACTTCATAAAATTGGAAAACCTCAAAAGTAATGGACAATTTTCTTGATAGATACCACTTACCAAAGTTATATTAAGGTCAAATAAACAATTTAAATATGGACAAAAACCCCTAAGGAAATAGAAGCCATTATTAAATGTCTCCTGACACTCCCCCTCCCCCAAAAGCCTAGGGCCAGACAGTTTTAGTTCCAAATACTACCAGATTCAAAGAAAAGCTAATACCAATCAGTACTCCTCAAATTATTCCACAAAATAGAAACAGAAAGAACACTGCCAAATTCATTTTTTGAGGTCTGTTTCTCTGATACCCAAACCACATAAAAATTCAAAAAAGAACAAATTACAATTTCTCTTGTGAACCTTAATATAAAACTACTCAATAAAATATTTGCAAAGTGAATCCAAGAACTCATCAAAAAAATCGTCCATCATGATCAAGTAGGTTTTATCTCAGAGAGGCATATATAAACAAACTGAAAGAATAAAACCACATGATCATTTTATTAGATGCTAAAAAATCTTTTGACAAAATTCAACACTCCTTCATGATAAAAATCTTGGAGAGATCAGGGATACAAGGGACATACCTAAACATAATAAAGTCAATTTATGGCAAGCTGATAGCCAACATCAAAATTAAATGAAGAGAAATTCAAAGCAGTTCCACTAAAATCTGGAACAAGGCATAGACTTGTTACCTAGTAGGCATTGAAAATTTTCACATTCAATCTGTATGTTCATTCACAAATTAATATACAAATTAGTGACCCCTCTTTCCCCAGTGCAAAGTTAGAATACATAGTATATGTTTATGTGAGCTGCTATTATTTTAATGTATTTCATTGATCTTCATGAAAAAAGAGATTGTATGTATCACTAAAAAGAGACAGTATAGTGTAGCAAACTGCCCAATCTGGTGGCACAGACCATTAATTCCAGTTTCTTGAAGATGAGGTAGGATGAACACAAGTTCAAGGCATGCCCGAACCTATAGAGTTTGAGGTCAGCCAGGGAAGCTGTCGCAAAATAAAAGAACAAAAGAGGGACAGAGGTGGAGCTCAGTGTTGCGTTAGTTACTTTCTTGTTGCTGTGATAAGACACCATGATCAAGGCAGTTTATGGAAGGACCAGGTTATGTTGGCTTACAGTTCCAAAGGTGTAAGAGTCCATCATGGAAGAGAGAGGAGGCATGGCAGCTTGATCAGAAAAGTTCTTACTCACATCTTTAACAGCAGGCAGGAAGCAGAGAATGGACAGGAAGTGGTGCAAAACTATAAACAGAGTTTTCTTTATTGTAAGCTACATGTGAGATATAAAAATAAAAAGATGGCAGTTTGCCATCAGTAAACTATAATCTTTGTTACACTGCTCTGAGGCTTCTTTATCAAATGATTTAAAATTTGGGAGTTTTGTATTTTATATTCAAGATGAGTTGGTTGTGTGACTCCAAAGTAGAGTGTTGCCTAGCATGTGTCCAGCAGTGTACCCACCCGCCAAATACACACTGAAGTTAAAATAGAAAACTACATATGAAAAGTATATAAAACTTAAAAAGTATGTAAAAACTTAAAGGAGGATATACAGGTATTACAGTGACATCTGATTTTCATCTTACCTTTATTTTGTTTTAAAAACAGACCCCAGAGAGCGAAGATGAGATTCTGGGCCAAAGGGAAACAAGGAGAGAAGAAGACTACTAGAGTAAAGCCTGTTCCCCACGCGGAGGTCTCGTCACTCTTTGCTGGCTCAGATGTGACACCTGCTCATCCAGTTTCTGATGGTAAAATGGACAAAGGGTGGAGCTTCCTCATTTCTGTTACTCATTCTGAAAGTATACTGTGCCTTTCTTCTTCAGAATGACATTCCTATTGGAATGATTTTCATAAGATAGGACTATTACTGTTAAGTGCTTCCTTAATACGGCAAGGCATACTCTGCTTGTGTTAGATCCCCCAAGAACATGCAGCATAGAGCATGGCACAACCTCTTCAGTGATGATGAGTCTTGAGCTAGCCTTTTTTTCTAAATTGTAAAGGTTTGGCCTTGATTCATTTATTTAATAAATACATAATAGTCATAGTAATTCATAACATTAGCTCATTATTGAGTGCTATGTAAAACCATAATAAACATGTTATATATATTAAATCTATTGATTTTTAAGAACAACTTTTCTGGCCGGGCAGTGATGGCGCACGCCTTTAATCCCAGCACTTGGGAGGCAGAGGCAGGCGGATTTCTGAGTTTGAGGCCAGGCTGGTCTACAGAGTGAGTTCCAGGACAGCCAGGGCTACACAGAGAAACCCTGTCTCAAAAAGAACCAAAAAAAAAAAAAAAAAGAACAACTTTTCTGGTATTAGTACAATTATTATTCATGGTTTATAGGTGAGAGCACCAAAATATAAGAAGTCATCTATTTATACATATTGAAATGAGAATTTGAGTTTAAGCATTTAAACTCCATACTTGACATTGGTTTTTGTTACTGTCATTTTTGTTTTGTGTTTTTTTTCCCTTTGTTTGTTTTTAAGATAAAGTCTCTGTAGCTTTGGCTGTCTTGGAACTTTCTTTCTTTTTAAATTTTTATTGATTCTTTGTGAGTTTCATAGCATGTGTCCCAGTCCCACTCATCTTTCCATCCCCTCATATCCCCCAATTACCCTTGAAACCTCTCCTCTCAAATAAACACATAAACAAACAAAACAAAGTAAAGGCAATATCTCATCATGGAAGCTGTTGTGTGTCACAGTGTGTCCTACAGTATATCCCTCTGTCCACACATCTGTACTTGCACATGTTCATTGCAGTGAGTCATTTCTTTGCTTCATAGTCTCTGGCTTCTGTGGCATCATCAATATTGGATTCTCTCCGGGACTCCTCCTGGCTACCCTGTTGTTGCTGTGTGTCATGAAGATTCTGCAGTGTTAGATTAGCAGCACTGGCCCTTTGATGCATCCCATCTATTTGCAGATGATACAGATTTTAGGGTGGGCCAACTCAAGAGCCTAGCATCTTGGCGCTGGCTCTCCCTTATCCACACTTCCAGGATGAGCTCTCCAGCACTGCTCTTGCTAGGCCACCCAATGCTGTGATGATCAAGAGACAGGGTCAGCCCTCCTGCTCTCTTGTTCTCAGGGCCTGCTCAGCCACACCCTCATCTCCAGCTCCAGCTCCACTGTGCTACCCAGTCAAGGTATGGGGCACACTTTCCCATGTGCTGCAGTTTATGAGCGGCTGGGACAATTCTCCTGCCTCACACCCTCAGGGCTGGCTCATGAGACCAGCGCCAGCTCCACTGTGTTGCACAGGCAAGATGCAGGGCCTGCTCTTCGGAGTACTACAGCCAGTGAGGTGGCATGGCTAGCTCTCCTAACTTGTTTGTTCGTTCAATCTTCGTTCCTTTGTTCCTTTGTTTCTCAAAACAAAGTCTTACACTGTATCCCAAACTGGCCTTGAATTTGAGACAAACTTGCCCTGGCTTCATGGGTGCTGAGATTATATGCATGAGCTATCATGCTTGGTGCAGAGTCTCCATCTCAGCCATTGTAATACACATAAAGTATTTACTTAGTTACCTTCCTCAATACTATGGCAAAAAAACTTTATCAATGCAATTTTAAAATGGAAGAGTTTATTTTGGTTTATAGTTTCAGGGCTTTGCAAGTCTAATATGTTTCTGAACTGTAATGGTCTGCATAGAATTTTATTCTCTAGTGTGAACAAATACAAAAAATGTGGTACTTTTCTCTGTAATATACCTTACCTTCCTAGCTCCCTTTTAACTGGCAGTCTGGGACCCTAGCCCATGGAATGGTAACTACCTATATTTAATTTAAAAGTGGTTTTCTACTCAACCTAATCTCAATAATCCCTCCCAGTCATGCCCAGAGATTGTCTCCAAAGTGATTTTATTTTAGATCCTGTCAAGTTAACAGGATCAACTGTCATATGTACTGCACATTAATGCCTTGCATTACATAAGGTAGCCATTCTTTTGACTTTTAAGGATATAGCAGTAACACACTTGAAAGTACTCAGGAGTAGCAACTAACACTTGAAAGGATAAAGGATGGTAGAGATGAAATTTACCCCTCATTTTGTATCTTGTGGCTTTGTTCTTGTCAACTGACCAACAGATACAGATAATAATAATAATAATAATTCTGTGGTTATCTAACCCTAGTCTAACTGAGATTAGAAAAACTTAACTTTCTCCATTGCATTACTTAAGTGTTCATTTTCTTAATATCTTATCTAATTCACAATGATCATTCTAAATTTACCATTTTCAGTAATTATATTCTAATATAATTACCAAAAAAGAGTGATAAGGTTAATTACTTGAAAATATACATTTTAAGCAAATGTCATTATATAAAGACCTTCATAAAAATTAGGATTATGGCTTTTTATTTATGTTTGAATGAAAATTTAGTAAGGTAGCCTTTGTTTTTAATGCAAAACTGAGATTATAACTTATTGAATATTGTTATTCTAAACAGGATAATGACTTTGTAAAATGAAGTAATTACTTAGTGAGTTAAAGTGAAGTCAGTTTATATCAATATTCTCCTCAGGCTTCAGATAGGGCTTTGCAAGTCTAATCTAGTTCTGTTCTAAATTGTAATGGTTTATATAAAATTTTATTCCCTCGTGTGAACAAATACAAAACATGATACTCTCTTCTGTAATATATACTATCTGTTTATTCCACATATCACATGATAATTTAGACAGTTATAAATAAGGAGTATGTATAAGAAAACACTAAATAAAATGTTAGACCAAAAGCAAGCCAGGTGAGCTACCTCACTCCCTAACAAGTTGTTAACTATCAACAGACAGTGTCGCTGATGTGTTCATGGTTATAGACTACAGTAAAAATTATAATTATCAAAGTCTCCTTGTTGGTTGGTTAGACATTCCTTCAAACAAGTATAACAAAGTTGCAACTGGAAGAACAATATTTAATATTGCTAGTTTGTTGCTTATTCTTCTTCATCTTTGGGACTGAGGTTTTTACAATAAGAATGGAGATTTTCAATATTTTTTTTGTCTTTTTACTTATTACTTACCCTGTTTTGAATTGTAGAATTAACTCAGTACCACCCAACACCTCCTTTGAGTCCGGAACTGCCTGGGAGTTGTCGAAAAGAGTTCAAGGAGAATAAGGAACCTTCTCCAAAGGCAAAGCGCAAGAGAGGTGTGAAAATCAGCAGTGTGGCCTTGGACTCTGTGCATTGGCAAAATGACTCTGTCCAAATCATAACAAGTGCCAACGACTTAAAAAGTATGGATGAGTTTCTTCTGAAAAAGGTACACTTTGTTTGCTCAGTTAGCCTCTGAGTTTTGACTAAAGATTGTTTGTTATAAGATATGCTGTTATAAGATAGGTTAAAATGTCTTCAGTACCTCAGTGTGTTTGTTATCAAAAGCTCAGAGACTAAGACACTCAACGTGAGACAGGGTTTCAGCTTCCTCTGTGATTTCCTAAGTGTCAGATATGAAGGTAAGGCTTACTGCACAGTTGTAGCTGTTGAGTCCACAGAACTGGAGAATCCAAATGCTACAGGAGAACTTAGATGTTGTGATGAAGGGCACTGTCTTTGCTCAGGTCCCGCAGTGTCCAGTGGCTTCTACTGTTAGGATGCTCATTGCTTAAGAAACACTCCAGCCAATGCATTTGTATCTTTTTGATGAATAGTTATGTATAACAACCTTTTCTGTGGTTGGTCCCTAGATGAATGACCTAGATAATGAAGACAGCAAGAAGGATACATTAGTGGATGTCGTATTTAAAAAAGCCCTGAAAGAATTTCGGCAGAATATCTTCAGCTCTTATTCATCTGCATTGGCGGTAAGCTTAGGCCATGTCAGGAGATACAGTGCAACGTGGTTTGTAATTTTAATAATCTATAAAGCCAGACTCAAGGGAACAGTTCTTAGGACTTAATTATTGTATTACTCTAACTGTTAGGTCTGTTACTGATACTTAGTATAGTAGGTTTATCCTGCCTACACCTTATACTATACGATGGGATTGTACAAATGCTGGATAATGCCTTGAGTTGGCTCATTATAAGCCATATTAAGATTGTAATCTATATTCCCCAGTACAAGTTGACTTAGTCTTTAAAGAATGTTTCCATAAAACTTAACAGGTTTTTTTTCTTCTTCTTAGATGGATGATGGGAAAAGCATCCGCTATAAAGACTTGTATGCGCTATTCGAACAGATTCTAGAAAAGACCATGAGGTTTGAGCAGCGTGATTGGAATGAATCTCCAGTGAGAGTTTGGGTTAACACTTTTAAGGTGTTTTTAGATGAATACATGAATGAGTTCAAGACTTTGGATAGCACAGCCCCAAAGGTAAATGAGTTAGATTTCTAGAAGTATTAAATAAATTATAAATTCTTTGTAAGGAATCTGTTTAGGAAACGTTTTTTTTAAATTAGTATTTGTGTATCTTACTTGTGCTAAGTGGTTTCATTATCATTTTTCTACATCTTTACAATGATTTTTGATTATGCTGTTCATGATGACACATGCCAGTAGTCAAATACTGTAGAGGATACGGTAGGAGGGTCATAGTTCAACACCAGCCTAGACAGTGACCAAGAGTGTATTTCAGCAAAATATCACAGAGACCAGACCGATTTATCATTACTCTAGATCTTCTAAGAGACCAGACCAACTTATCATCACTCTAGATCCTCTCAATTGTGCTCTAATAACACCATGTGTTTTCTCTCAGTACATAATAGTGTGCCCTCAATATTACACTTTATATATATTAATCATGATTATATATAAATTGACTTCTGAAAAGTAATGGTTAAAGGTCAAATGAATTATATATACTTAGCTTTTACCTAAGAACATACGAATTAGATCTCTCTTGAATTAGTTTTTAGGAAAAATGTATTTTTGGGGAAATACAAACATCAGTAATATTAACCTTCACTTTTTGGTTCTGTTAAGAGCTGGGAATTGTACTGCTTGATATTTTAATGAAATCTTGCTTTAAAGCTATCAAATATTTTATAGTTGGGTAGGTGTTAGGAACATAGCTCATGCTGGAGTGCTTGACCGACATTCATAAAGTGCAGATCTGAGCTCTGATACATAGAAAACGTGGTGGTCCACATCATCATCCCAGCACTCTGGACGTAGAGGCAGAGTGATCAGTTCAGGCTCATCCTTGGCAACACAGTGAGTTTGAGGCCAGCCTGGAAAACACTGTATACTTTTAAGCTGAGTGTGGTGGCACATACGTTTAATCTCATCACTCTGGAGACTTGAGACAGGAGGATAGAGTGGTTAAAGACAGCCTGTTTTATATAGAGAAATTCTAACTAAAAAAAAATCTAAACAAAAATGTGCATGTGTTTTAAAGAAAGAGACAGCTGTCTAAACAAGGATATCAGTATGTTTCTTTTCATTATAACACATGTAACACTATTATTTGTTCAGGAATATCTTAGTGTTGGATTATGCTTTGTTTTATTTTTACTTATTTTAGCTGATGAATTAAAATTTTAAGCCATTTCAAATCATTTTTATGTAAACAAGTTCTAGACGTTCCAGTGTTGTAGGTATCAGACTTATGCTTTATATACTTGATTCTTACTAGGTTTATACTGCTGCTTTGTAAATTGATGGTTGTTAAAGGACAGGTTTAAGCTGTTCTGTTTTGTGTCATCAGGGGATGCCATCTGTTACAGAGTTTGCCCATGCTCCACGTGGCCCCCTTTTATGCCTGTAGTATGTAGCAAACCTTCATAGTTGAGACTATAATTTGAATAATTATTAAATGTCTAATTATGGTGTTCAATTTAGAACTGGCATTTAAAAAGATATCAGTCTCTAAAAAGTTCATCCATTCTTCTGATTTTGTTAGCACTTCATTTTACCAAACTTAAAATATTTTCTCAAATTTACTTCAGCTCTGCATAGTTCCTCTTGAAGAATAAAGAACTTTTTATTATCAGTTGAAGCTGTTCAAGCATTTTCTTTTCTTTTTTTCAAGACAGGGTTTCTCTGTGTAGTCCCGGCTGGCCTCGAACTCAGAAATCAGCATGTCTCTGCCTACCAAATGCTGGGATTAAAGACGTGCGCCACCACCACCCGGCCCAAGCATTTTCAGAGAAGTGAGTATGTTAGTCATTGTAATCTTAATTTATGTTTTTCCTCACTTCCTACCAGGTGCTTAAAACAGAAAGAAAGAAAAGGAGGAAAAAGGAAACTGATTTGGTAAGTTACACCATTGGTACAATACTTTCCAGCCCAGTAGGTTGAAGCAGATCTTTTATTCCCATGGTTAGATTTAGTAGTAAGTTTACCAGCTCCATAGGGCATACTCACATGCCTTTAAAAAAATTAGAATAATGATGAACCTGAAATCTCATGAACATGTACTTTAAAAGTAGTTTTCTTTCTTTCTTTCTTTCTTTCTTTCTTTCTTTCTTTCTTTCTTTCTTT